TTTTTACTTAAGATTGAGGTGTTCGTTGCTGATGAGTATATAGTTTTCTGAAATGATTATGCAAAGAAACAGCAAAGTAACTTTTAACTGTTAGAAAAAGTTAGCTTATGGTTTTTTATTTTAAATGTATCTTTAGTTGCTTAAGCATTATTCTTAGTGCTGTGTCCTTTGAAATGCAGGTGTAAGGTATTGTATGCTGTTCAATTCTTAACTTTGGTTCTCCCCCCGCCTTTTTTTTTTTTTTTTTTTTAAGATTTTATTTATTTGACAGGCAGAGAGGCAGGCAGAGAGAAAGGGAGAAGCAGGCTCCCTGATGAGCAGAGAGCCCGATGTGGGGCTCGATCCCAGGACCCTAGGATCATGACCTGAGCTGAAGGCAGAGGCTTTAACCCACTGAGCTACCCAGGCGCCCCTCTCCCTTTTCATACACCAGTCACTATGTACTGTAATTTACCCAAATCACTCGATTGTATAAAATTTGTAGTTAGAATTTGTGTAACAGTGCTTGATTAAAAGCTCTATTTTAGAATCTAATCTTCTAATCTGAGAGGATTAGAAAATTATGAATTGCTTCTTAGTTAATTTTTTTTTTTTTTTTTTAACTATGTATTCTAGGATAAACGCCTTGTTCCTGGAGGTGGAGCAACAGAAATCGAGTTAGCCAAACAGATCACATCATATGGAGAGGTATAGCTTTCTCTGGATAAATTGACTTTTTCGTGGTCCTTGAATAAAATACAGTGCTAAACACATTTTTGTTTTAGACATGTCCTGGACTTGAACAGTATGCCATTAAGAAGTTTGCTGAGGCATTTGAAGCTATTCCCCGGGCACTGGCAGAAAATTCTGGAGTTAAGGCCAATGAAGTCATCTCCAAACTTTATGCAGTACATCAAGAAGGAAATAAGAATGTTGGATTAGATATTGAGGTATTTGAAAAAACAAACACTATGAACTTATTTTGTAAATATAAAACATAAAAATGGAAGTAGTAAGTTTAAAAGGTAAAGTTATTTGGAAAATGTTCTGATTTATAAGCAAATGATTTTCTTAACAAAAGCTTTTTTTTTTTTTTTTTAAAAATTTTTTTTTTTTTTTTTTAGAGAGAGAGAGAGAGGGAGAGAGAGCAAGCACAGGCAGACAGAATGGCAGGCAGAGGCAGAGGGAGAAGCAGGCTTCCTGACGAGCAAGGAGCCCGATGTGGGACTCGATCCCAGGACGCTGGGATCATGACCTGAGCCGAAGGCAGCCGCTTAACCAACTGAGCCACCCAGGCGTCCCATTAACAAAAGCTTTGACAGTTTGTCTGATTGTTTTCCTTAAATAACCTTTGTTTTATAGTGTGCGTAGGGGAGTACTTTCACCTGGCGGCTTCCTACATAAGGAGCCGTGTGTTTTTATTACTGCCCTAAACACATTTTCACTTTCACCAATTTAAAGTGAAAAAATGAAAATTGTTTTTGTGTTGACAGGCTGAAGTTCCTGCTGTAAAGGACATGTTGGAAGCTGGTATTCTAGACACTTACTTGGGAAAGTACTGGGCTATCAAACTGGCTACGAATGCTGCCGTCACTGTACTCAGAGTAGACCAGGTGAGTAACAAGAAATTTTGATCTTTCAAAATACTCATTTTCATATGGTTCAGTAATGTATTTTGATTAGAACTGGTTATTCTAGCCAAAGGTCTATTCCTTTATTTTTCATTGTAGGTATGTTAATAGTGCCCCCTCAAAAAGTTTGGGTTTTTTTCTGTTACAGTTTTAAATTGTTTTTACTATATTACAGCTGCAGTGAGTATCCTTTCACTGAAAGAAATTTTTGCCATTCTTAAACTGGAACAGATAAAACAAGTTTAAGTTCATAGTTTTCAGATATTTTTTAGCCTAGGAACCCATTTCTACAAATAAGGTGGAGAAGGGAGTTCACTGTTTCATAACGTGGAAGGGTCCATGAAGCCCTGAAGCACATGTGCCACCAACTTTAAGGAAAATGGAACTTCTGGTTGTCCATGGAAATGATAGGACTTAGGTGCATAGAATTTTTTGCTATGACAAATTAAGTTTTGAAGATCTAAAAGAAAAATGTTAAAAATCATAGTATTTCTGCCCCCCCCCCCCTTTTTTTTGTAGGGGGTGGTGGGAAGGATACTCTGGCAAAGAGGAAAACGATCAAGACTATTCTAGGTTCAGATACAAGCCTGAATTCAGAGGAGGTTTTTCAAAAGGTGTTTTCTGGTACACAGTGAAATCCATTTTCCTAGAGAGTTCTAGAACTGATTGTTAAGCAATGAGTTATTTTTCAAGTACTTAATAGAAAATTGTAATTGTGAAGGGGCATGGTTATAAAAATCCATTAGGTGAAAATCATGCCAAATGAACCTGAGGAGAAGCAAGTTATAAGTAGAAATTAATGGAAAGGAGATTAAAACATTCTGCCGCAGTAAAAATAACTTTTTTCCTACTTGTGGTCCGTGAGACGACCAAAAAAGGGAACTGGATATCTAGTTTCAGCTCATTGGAAATAAACAGATTGAATGTTCATGTCCTGGATTTATTAATAGGGTGTGTTTATATCTGTATCAAGTAGTTTCCAGCATAATATGATTTTGGAGTTCTCAAATAGTTATAATGCAAGCCGAAGAAAATGGTTGCTCTAAAAGTTACATTAAAAATAGCAGGGGCGGGGCGCCTGGGTGGCTCAGTTGGTTGAGCGACTGCCTTCAGCTCAGGTCATGATCCTGGAGTCCCGGGATCGAGTCCCGCATAGGGCTCCCAGATCCACGGGGAGTCTGCTTCTCCCTCTGACCTTCTCCTCGCTCATGCTCTCTCTCACTGTCTCTCTCTCTCAAATAAATAAAATGTTAAAAAAAAAAAATAAAAATAGCAGGGGCAGGAGAAGCTAAGTACATTGGAAGCAAGAAGTAACCTGGAATTCTAATAGTGGAAGTTCCTTAACTGAGGAACTTCCTGAATGTCAGTTACCCAAGTGAGACAGTAATACAATAATGCAAGTACCTGCATCACAAAGATACTTCACAATTTTGGTTTTAAACTGGGAAGCCTGTGTTTTGTTTTCTAGTAGAGGGGGATGTTCATTGTGTGTCTGAACTTTTTTCAAATACGTACCTGAAGAACCCATCTATCAGTAACCAGTTTGCTACTGTAATGAACTTACATTCCTTAAGATTGTTGTAAATAATATTCATGTAGTATATATTCGGGAATCGAATTTTAAGTGCTGAAGAACGTAGGGCTGGATTCATCTTTGTTCAGTGTTTATTTCACTAGTTCTGAAATTATAGTCCCTAAACCAACAGCATCAAGATCACCTAAGAATTTGCTAAAAGTACAAAAATTCTCAGAGCCCCTAACAGGCCCACTGAATCAGAAACTCCGGGAGGAGGCCCAGCAGTCTGTTTTAAATAAGCTCTTCAGTGACTGATGCCTACTAGTAGTTTGAGAACTGTTCTGGGTTGTTTGGTTTTATCAAGCTCTACTCTGGTTCTAAACTACCTAATAATGCCTTTAATTCAGTCTGAATTTAACCTCAGTTAATAAAATGTTGTATGAAGAATTTTAAAGTTTAGATTTCCTGTAGAAGCTTCTGAAAAGGGGTGCTGATCTGTTGGAAGTGGTTGTAAAGATGTTTTACATTTGTGCTGCTTGAGACACCAGCCAAACCCCTTGATGTTCTACAGAAAGAGGTCTCTCAGTCCTATAAATTTGGGAAGCAATGAATACTCTTTTTAGTTTAGACATTCAGAATGTACATTAGAGTTTGAGAGTTCTACTTTGAGGAAAGCCATCTAATTTAATTTAGCTTCTCCAAATTTGAGCCAAAGCTGCCACTACCTCTTTTTTTCTCCCAGATTAATCCTTTAAAAATGCTAGATGGTCATACTTGGAACATACTTGATTAGTGCATTCTAGACAAACAAGGGGCTTCTTGGTTTTAAGTTAGCAGAAAACTGCATATTTGGATAATTGTTTATGAATACACACCTCCTGCCATTTGAATGGGTTTTACAGGTACTATGAAATTTCAGTGTTGAACTTTTATGTATATTTGTATGTATGTACCAGCCATTTAGCTTACAATGGCAAAACTGGCAGGTGGACCTAAAGCTCCTAAACCACAAGGAAATTGGGATAAAGATGATTGGCAAGACGAACTTCATATATAAATAGCAAATCAGGTGCCAAACAGATTTATACAGTAGTGCATGCAGTTATTTTTCTCATTTGGTTCATAGGGTTATTGAGTTACTGAAGTGCATGTCTTAGAATGCCCTTCACTAACGTGTGAATTTGTTGCTGTTAATGTCCACAAGAGCATTGCTGGAAGCTAACAACCCTGTGGTAGTGTCACATATGCAGTGTGTAACAGATGGCTTCTATTGAGAGGATTGTTTCATCTTGAATCAGTCTAGTATAAAAATACTCTTTCTTTTCATTTTAAAGGTAGAGTTTATGAGAATGTGTTTGTGGTTTTTGTTTTCTTAGATCATCATGGCAAAACCAGCTGGTGGGCCCAAACCTCCAAGTGGGAAGAAAGACTGGGATGATGACCAAAATGACTGACTGGCTTAGGTTTTACTATAGTTGAAGACTACATTTGTAGTAGTAGTCTAGGAATTGCCTGATGTTTTCATATTTTCCTTAAATTAAGAAGTGTTTTGTGTTTATATCCTCGGCTGGATGATATAATAAATATGTTGTTGGTATCAAAGCCTCACTGTCTGATGAGCACTGTTCTTGGAGGTAAATGATCTGTTTGTCTCAACCTTGGTAATGAAATTAGCTCTGGAACCTCAGGCAAGCCACTTAAGTACTGAGGGGCCAGTTCCAATATACATCTGGCCTGCCGCCCGTCTGGAACACAGCCACGCTCGTGTAATTGCATATGGTCTGTGGCTGCTTTCTATAAGGAAATGGCAGAGTAAAGAAGTAGTGATAGAGACTAAATGGCCTACAAAGCCATATTTACTATCTGTCCCTTTATAGGAAGTCTGTCGTCCCCCAGACTGCTGGATTTAAGTTTTTTTCACAGCTCTGCTCTGGGAATTCTAAGACTTGAGTGAACTTGTTTTAGTAATGCCTAACTTAAAATACAGTCCAGTAGTAGAATATAAAAATATTTGTAATGCAACTGAAAATCTATCTGCTAATACAGATAAATTAAGCAAGTTAGTTTTTATAAGGTAGATATTTTTCCTTAAGATCAGTATGGAGTTTTGAAAAAATAACATGAAAGGTTAACTGATTTTTATGGGACATGTGCTATTATGTGTATTGGTTATGTAAGGTCTCCTAGTAACAGTGAAATTTTATATTTTAAGAAAATTAAAATTTATATTTTGGTATTTAAAAAGAATTTTGGAAGCAGCAGGACTCACTGGATTTTAGATAAAGTTAGCAAGTGTTAAGAGTAATGGAAGTTTAGTCAAGCTTGGTATCCTTAAGACTCAGGATTATAAGCAATGTAGCAATGCTGGCTGGCTTGGGAAAAGGACACTCTCTGGCATGCTAGCATTAAGGGGGACCTGGTATCAAATTACTTGAGAGTATCTACCTTGGATCCATTAACAACTGCACAGAACAAGTGTAGTTAGACCCACACCCCAGCTGTATACACTGTATGCCATCAGAATTGCAGATAACAGTATTTCTTCCAAGTATATACTACTGCCAATATCTAATGTCTATGCTTAAATAACCAACACTTTTTAAAAATTCACTTGGAATTTCATTAACCAGTCTGAAACATTTTTTTAAATGTTACCTGCTAGGGTAAAAACACAACTTAACATCCTCCAAGTAATAAAACAAGTTTCGGGGGTAAGTCAGTTTATTGATGTTATAACCCACCACCCAGACATATTTAAGCACAGAGGACTTAAGGAATTCAGAATCCTTTCCAGAAACTGGCAGCAAGAATAAAAACCACTATGACAATACAAAACCACTGTAAATTTTTAGGTGTCTTCCCTTCAGTATTTTAATAAACATGATTTCTTCTGGCATGTGTTTTAATTTTAAGTGAACATGATTTTACAGTTAGTCTTTACTTCTTTATTATTATTATTAATTACAGCCATTTTAAAAGCCATAAGCTTGTTTCTGGAGGAAGCACTCTTTGAAACTATCACAATACTCTCTCATAAAACAGGAGGTACGCTTGCGAGTTCAGTACTTTAGTTGTAGGCACAGCTTGCACATGTGTATCACTGATGTGAAACCACTGCCCTTTGGTTGACTGCATTTCAAAATCTGTCGAGAGAAGTAAAATTAAATGGGAAGATTCAAGTTCATTATTTTTTTGGTTTTGCCATAATCTGAATACCAGAATTTTCCAAGACCTCTTACCTTGTGGAATATCACCATGGAGAACAAGATTCGAGAGAGGACTATTCGCAGCTCTGGCCTTGGCATAGGCAGTATAATGCCCTGACCTCATGGTACCGCTGTGTTCAACCACTCCATATAAGGAATACAGTACTCTTGTATTTTCTTCAGCCACATTCTTTCAAAGTGAACAGAATTCAAAAGTTAATTCTAGTCCCATTTACAGATGCCAGGGGCAGGATCAGTTTATGCAAAGGGTTTCTAACCTTTACTTTGAGAATGTAGAAATCCTAAGTCTGACCTTGACTACTTTTTCCCTACCTTTACCCAGCCTACTGAGTAGTGTCACACCATGGCTGGATGTTTTTATTGCTTTTATTAGAAAGTTACCATTGCTGTTTCTCTGCTAGAATCATAGACCTGAGGCCACTTGCAATTGCAGTTTCCTGGTATAATTGAACTTGCCAGTTTGTATATGAGTCCTGGGCTCTGATAATTGCAAAATAACTCAGTAGCTCTACCAGTCCAGTTCCTCCCCAGACTAAGTCTTTTTTAAGATCAAGAGGCTCACATTTAAAAAACTGAGTTTAAAAAACTCCCCCTTAAATTTATATATGTCTCTTAGAGATTCAACTTCTCAAGTGTTCACTTTCACCATCTAGACCATGGAGGCTGCTTATTCTAAGATACTATACATGCAATAGGGCAGACTGGTGATGAGGAAAGGCATTCTCTGAGTTGGGGGCCACTTTCAGACAACTTCCAACTTAGGTTCTCTTGTAAAAAGTCCCGAATGTGCATCACTGTCCTTCCAAACTATCATCTCTTTACATCTATGGCCCCCTATTCACTAGAAAACTTCATACTTTGCCCCAAATCCCATCTGCTCTTCAAAGAGTTGCTCCGCTTCCCAGGGTTTCTGCTGCCATCCTGTTTTAGCTGCCACACCCAGGACTAAATTCTACAATGCATCCTCACTTGGAACTGTTCCACTTCAAGTCTTCCTATTTTTCTAGTCTCAGCCCACAACTCCTTTCATTCTTCCAGTTTTCATCTCACCTGTCTCCCCTCTCTCCAACCTAACTAAATGTTCCAGTCCTTTTCTCCTGGCTGATGAAGCCTCTCCTGGCCTCATTCCCCAATCAAATCTGTGTCTTCACTACTCAAAGTGGCAATGGAACAGCACTGTCAGCACAGACCACCACCTGAGACCTACTGATGCCCAAGTGACATGCACATTAAAGCTGGAGAACTTAGACCACATGCATCAGTCTTACAAATCATCTTACATACACCACAGCTTTGCGAGCACACTGATCAGAAAATTCTTCTCTGAATCTAACAACAAACCCTTTCCATCCCCACACCCAGACAGCTGCTATTGCTAGGAGGCAAAATTACACACCCTGTGGATTGGTAAATTTACTGAGGACTAACTGGGATCTTCCATGTGACTACGATCTTGTAACTTGTTCCTTAGCTCTCTAGTTCCACAGATTGCCTTCACAGCAACTGGCCCGCACTTCCACCACTCCTTTAGCCTCTCCTTATCCCCCAACCCTTTACTAATCTCTGCAGTTGATCTCACCTCCCACTACAGGAAAACCAAGATAACAAGCTATTCAACTCTAAACTGCCCATTCTCAGGAAGATGAAGTATCTCTTCCTTTTGTTCAGAGACTATACTCTCAACTTAGTGTTACTAAGCTCTTCTCCTCTCCTCCAGGGTCCTGCTTAATCAGTTCTCTCTCTTTTCTGTATCTTCAATGAGTAAATTTTCCTCTTGGCTTACCAAGCTACTTAAGTCTCCCAGGCTTAACAAAATCACTGGTCCACCATTTTCCTTTTCAATAAAGTCTCTGATGTATCTACAGGCTTTATTTCCAATATTCTCATTCAAGTCACCAACACTTCTTTAAAAATTTACCATGACCCCTATACCATCTAATCCACAAATACTTTTCTTTTTCTCTGATATTCTGACACTGAGGCCCCCTCATCCTTTCCTTGAAACTTAAACACGGGCCAATGACATTTTAGGCAAATAATAGATTCCTAATGACCCTGTGTTTGAACTAATCCAACTACAGGTATTTCTGTTTACCAGCAAAAGTGGCCCTGCCCCATGGTGATCCAATGAAAATAATAACAATTCACTTTACCCACCAGCTCTGAAATACCTTTCTTGAAGAATCCTAAATTGGGAGGCAGGAAAAGAGAATTTCTATCATTTCAAATTTTGCCAATAAAAACTTTATTAATGTTGATACTGAGGTATTTGAAATCTACAGCTTTAATACTATAGTTTCTCTATCCAAATTCTTCAACACGGAGATTTGCTGAGATCGTTGGTAGTGTCATCCTCTTCTTCACATGCCTCTTGGGCTCTGATGCTCACCAGAGTTGTCATTAACCATCTCTTCTCTTTCTCCGTGCTCTACACAGGAGATCCTATCCTGTTTTAACCACCAATGTACTGATTTCCAAATCTTTATCTCCAAATCTCACCTCCCTGCCTCAGGGCTCAGGCCTCAGGCCTCAGATATGCACATCCAAATGTTTTCTTAACAAAGCCCCATGAGTATTTAAAAAATATATGAAAATGTATCCAAAACCAAACTCATTATCCTTTCTCCACCTCCCAACCTCTCTTCTTCCTGTATTTCCTACTTCAGCTAAATGCTACTCCCATCGGCCCAGCTGCCTTGTCACTCATCCGGGCCTCAGGAATCATGCTCAACGCCTCTTGTGCTACCCTTACCATCCATCTCAAGGCCTCTTCCTCATCTTCCAAACCAATCCCATCATAAGTCTGGTTAATTTTACCTCCCAAAATACTTTTGCAATCCTGCCTTCTCTTAACCTAGCTGAAGTCCATTGACTAAATTCAACATCTTCACCTCCTCTAATATGGAGACCCTGCCTCTCTTGTCTTTCCCTCTTAAAATCCAATCTCCTCCATGCTTCAGCAAGTCACACGCATCTAGCTATGTCACCCCACTGTTTCAAACTCTTCAGTGGCACCCTACTACACTCTTAAGAAAGCCCAAGTTCCTCACCATGATAATCCTCCAGGCCTCATTCCCACCTCACTTCTCTGGTTTCACGTCCCGGTGCTCTCTCGGCTTTATACTGCAAGCTCTACAACTGCTCATATTGCTAGTCCCTGGTCCCCACCACATCATTTTACACATCTTTGCACCAGCTGTTCTGTTCCCTCTGCCTGAACTACTTATTTCCTCTTAATTCATCACAGTAACTCTTACTCCTTTAAATAGTGGTGGAGGTGTGGTCTACTTCACAGAGCAGACTTCCCTGACCCACCAACAACTGGGTTAAGTGCATACCACCCCGCTCTGTGTATACCAGTCTTAACACTCAACCATATTAAACTGAAATTAATTACCTGCTGATCTTTAGTCTTGTGCCCTCAGCTCCCAAGACAATGTCTGCCACAGTAACAGAGATTCAAAAAATGTTGAACTAAATTTAACAACCTAATATTCAAAATGATTCATCACAGATCTTGAAATTATAATGGTACAAAGATCAAAGACCCATTCTACTCAGTCATTCTTATCAACTTCATACTTAAGTGAGTTACTATTGGAGTATCTGGTAAATAAGCTATGATTTCGCTTCAAAGGATCGTCCCAAAAAGACCACTTGCACTTACCTTACATTTAAGGGTACAAAAAGGAGCCAAATCTAAGATTTCCGGAAATTTTATGTGTTTGTTAACTTTGCGTAGGTTAAAACCAGCCTAAAAAAAAGGAGAGATAATAGATTTCTTTTCCTGGAAAAGCTGTACACATTAAATAAACTGTAGTCTTACTCTGATGCACAAAACACCACCAACACCCAACACTAGTTCAGTCTTCTCAGGAGACTCTTTTCTTTTCTTTCTGACCACTAAATGATTTCTGCTAGGTGCACACCACACACACACCCCAGCACGCATTAAGAAATGTGCTCCCAGGGGGCGCCTGGTGGTGTGGCTGGTTAAGTGCCTGACTCAATCTCAAGCCAGACATGATCCAGCATGTTCAGGGTGGTATGGCCACAGACTTGATCTCACCTCAGGTCCTGATCTCAGGGGTGTGAGTTCAAACCCCACACTGGGCTCCACATAAGGCTCATGGAACTGACTTAAAAAGAAAGAGAGAGGTGGGGGGGGAGAAAGAAAAAGAAAGGAAGGAAGGAAGGAAGGAAGAAAAAAGAGAGAGAAAAAAGGAAAAAAGAGAAAAAAAGAAAGCTGCTCCCCTGAGAAAATTCTGTGTTTCTGCTCTAGCCATCCAGAAAAGCCAGATTAGCTCAGTGCTTAAAACTCAGCAATAGCAGAATACTTTTCTGTGGAGCACATACTCTCAGCCTCCTTTCTAACCAAGCTTAGTGCTTGGTTCATGGAGACCCACCCAGCTAGTCAAACCCGTACACCACCCACTGGAGGGAAAATGCTGTAAAGGTACTTTGGGAATTTGGAACTTAATTTAAAACTTGTACGGCTTACAACAAAAGTCTTCCAGAAAAGACAGGGTCGCCAAAATGATGAAAATCCAAGGTATCAATGTCTTTTTATGAAGGGTCAGTAAAAATAAGGTACCACACCCAAAACAGAAATAGTATCACTAATTTTCTTAACTGTGAGATACAGCTAGTAAACTGGACTTTTTTTTTTTCTTAACCTGAGAAAAGGTTTAGAGGAAGATGCTAATTTTACTAAAAAAGACAACACGCGTTCTAATAAAACTGAAGAAGGATTGTGCCTACATGTCTCCACCTTGAGAGGCATCTTCATCTAAGCTTTTGTCATGCCCAGGTATATTTCTTAATTTTTTTTTAAAGTTAGAATTACAAAACAACAGAAAACCAAAGAAACACAGTCATGTGGTAAGATAATAACAAAGCAAGTGTTACCTATTTAAAACAAATTTGAGCTAAAAAGGGGTACCTGCTGAAATCTCTTTAAATGAAGAGTGAGAACAGGAGGAGCAAGAGAAATTAGCATCTGCTTTTTCGCATTGGTATAAACATGTTTCCTTTCTCCTAAAGAAAGAAATTTTAACAGTGTGAAAATCATTTTAGATTTCTAGAGCATTCACATTTGCTATAGTATCATTTTAAGCATCTAACACAATCGATTTATCTTTAAACTTTCTGGAAAGGACCAGATAATAAATATTTTGGGTTCTGTGGACCAAGAGGCACAACCAAGGACATTTTGTAGGTATCAGTAAAAATTTCCACAAATTTCCACATTTTTACTGCTGTAATTCAAAATATAGCAATAACTGAATACAAGTACCATTTACCAAGGAGAACGGTACTGAAGAGATACCACTGAATCAGTTGGGGCTCAAAGTTAGTATTTTCTACCACCAAATCATTTTCAAATGTTCATCAGTAAAAAACATTTCTAGACACCATACAAAAACCTGACTGTGAACAACAGTTGGCCAATGTCTGCTCTAAAGCAAACTGAAATGCTATAAAATCAATACAATTTACTTTCTATATTGACATGCAAATAAATAAAAACCTAGACCTTTTTTTAAAAAAGTTTCGATAATTCTAGTAAGAATCCTTGGGACTCCACAATCCCTCCTTATCCCACTTACCCAAGCTCAAAAAATGGGGGTGGGGAGAAAGAGAATTATCACTATTTTTCTGTTCTATATTTGAGGGAGACTAGAAGAAAGCACTGTCCTCCCAGTACCTTGCACTGGGCATGTCACAGGAGCGCACAGATGAAATGAAGTGGAGCTCCCTGCATGAGGGAGAGGAGGGCCAACACAAATGCTGACAGGAAACTGAGCAGACTAAGAGAGAGCCACTATCTGTGAGGAGCCTGTTGCAATCACAACTCAGTAGGATGATTCACCCCCAGAGAGGTGCTGGAGATAAAACTGTCCTACTCGTATCTGCTGTTCGGCTGTCACAGAGTATCAGCCACTTTGGTCTGTTTGTTCAATCTTCTGTTAAAATATTACACAGGGGAGGGAACTTACTGATGCCGTGCAAATCCCGATACAATCAAGATAGCAGTATTCTACCTGTTCGGTGCAAAATGTGCCCCCGAACATCATTTTCCCTTTCAGTGAGAGAATCTAAATTACCTTTTATGTTTGCCTTTGGTCCACTAAACTGTCTCCGGGTGCATACTTCACAAAGCAGCTTATTTGCATCTCGAAGTTTCTCATTTCGGGTGAACTGATATAAACAATGTTGGATTGAACACTCATCAGTATGGAAAGCTTCCCTGTTTGCAAGAGTACAGAAAGCAGTTTCTGGATCTTCGTTTACGACTTCATATATCTTGGTCCCAGGAGAATGACTCTCATTCAGAATCTCTATATTTATTTCATCAGGTTGAAGAACAGTATTCAAGTTAAGGTTTTTGAAACCACTGGAAATGTCCACATCACCACTCCCTTCTGTCAGATAGGCACCATTTAAATTCCTAGTACAGTCACCAGGAGAAGATGCCAAGACATCTAGATCATTATCCATGTTGACATTGTTCATATCTACTTCTGTGGATTTTTGATTGTCAGTTACACTTTCTACCATTTTTTCTTGGCCATTCAAATCTTTCTGATTAACACAATATTCTTTATGTATAATTTCCTCTTCTGAAATATGGTTGGATTTAACATCCACTTCTCCCTGAAGCGACATTTCAACCTCACATTCATTATCTTCAGGATGGTCAATGGTACAGATATCATTTAAATGAAGAACTTTTCCTTGAATTTTTTGTTGCCTTCGTTGGTTCTGTGCAAAAAGCATGAAACATTAAAAAATAAAACTAAAAAAAGGAAGAAGAAAAAAAAATAGAAGAAAAAGCACATGTGTACCACATCAGGTTTTCTTGTTTATCAAAAAGCTTATAAGGAAGAGTGCCCTCCCAGAATTCTGATCCTAAAAGCTCCTTTACTATCAGGGATCAAATAAATTATGAAGAACGTTCTTTCACTGAAACCAGGAATAAACTATCACCAATCATCAACATATTGTGACACGGCGGGGGGGCGGCAAATGAAAACATCAAGACATAGTCTGTGTTCTAAGGGAAGTGACCGAGACAGGGTAGTAGACTAGACAGAAACTGCCAAATCGAAGCAGCCAAGTAGGAAACCACGTGGGGAGTCTGACTACAAAGAGAGCAGGAAGCAATGTATCCATGTGAGTTACGATTATCAGGTCAAGGTTGTACTGAGGGAAGAAAAAACAAACTGAAAACTCCAGGATGCACAAGTACAGGACTGTTTTGGGCAGGATGGAGGAAAACATCCCAGGAAATAAATGGCCCCAAATTAGAGAGGAAGCAAGGAAGCCTCACGAACAGAGGACAATAAAGGACTTTCCTCCTAAAGCATTCTGATCTGCCATTTGCAGCCTATTTACAAGCAGAGTGGGGAGAAAGGCATTTCATCAACACTACTGTCACTGGAATGCCTACAGACTCAAGGTAAAATGACAGTCCCCATGCGGCTAATCTGTAATACCAGAAGGCTGAAGGACACACACAGGACACAAACATTTTCCCGTGTGCCTCAGCTACAAACAGAACATGAAAGAAAAATGGAGAAAGGGTATAAGCAAATACTGCAAAGAAAAGGGAACACAAATGGCTCAAACATAAAAACATACTTATATTAAAATAAATGGAAAATAAATGCATTGAAAAATTATTTTCCATCTATGAAACCAGCAGAAATCCAGAAGTTTGATAACACACTTCTGTCAAGGTTAAGGAGAAACAGCAAATCTCATTGTTGCTGGTGGAAATATAAATCGGTATAGCCTTTGTGGAGGGCAATTAGGTACATCTATCAAAATTACAAATGCCATCCCTCTTCTCAAAATGTGCCGTACTGACGACAGGGGTAGAGGAGTCTTCACTGCAGCACTGGTTATTAGAGAGCATAGACTACAGACAGCCCAAATCAACAGAGAAACAGTGAAATGAGCTATGGGACATCTATAAAGCCGAATACTATACAGCTGTTTAAAACAACAAAATCTTTGTGTCCTGAAGTGGAAAAATCTCCAAGAATCCAACTAAGCAGAAACAAAACACAGGATCCAGAACAGTGTGTATAATTTCTTTAAAAATTAGGAGGAAAAAAGACTACATATTTGTATTTGACCATATTTTTCAAAAGAAACCCCGGAAGGACTCATACGAAACTAATGAAAGTGGTTATCTATGTCATGAAAGGACAGAGTTGGAGGGGTACTTTGTGCATCTTTATATATTTTTAAATTTTTGAAAGTCAATGTATTAAGAACTCAAAAAATTATTAAAAATGAACTAAAACTCCTAAAAGTTCTCACAAATATGGGTGTCCAGGTGGCTCAGTCAGTTTGATACCGGTCTCTTGATTTTGGTTCAGGTCATGATCTCAGGGTCATGGGATAGAGCCCCACAAGGGGCTCCATGCTGGGCTGGCATGGAGCTTGCTTGGGGTTCTCTTTCTCCACCCCCTACCACCTCCCCCCTGCCCATCCCACCCCAGCTTCTGCTCTCTCCTTCTAAAAAAAAGAAAGGTCTCACAAGCAATACAAGATTTAAAAAAACAAAAGCACAACATTTTCTTTTGGTCATTCAGACTTCAGACTCAATAGTTGCAAATATAAAATTAGAAAAGCATAGTTTTCTTCCTAGCTACCCACCTTGGCTTGCTTTTTGGCTTGCTTCTTTGCTTTCTTCTGTAAGTGCTTACTTGTTCCCAATGGAATGTCACTCCTTTCTTTGATATAACTATCATTGTCTTTCTCCTCCTCACTCTCTTTATCTTCATCTTCCATCGTCTTTTTCAAATTTTTATCGTTTATACTTTTCTTACCACTCTTAAAATATGAGCCAAAAATAAAATTTTACAACTATTTGGTAAAGAGATTTCACGTTACCTAAATATTTTTCTACTCCTATTTCATATTGGTTTTACTTTCTACAATGTTTGAAAATATATCCAGGACAAACTCATTCATCTCAAATACTAGAAAGCAATCTTACATACTGTGAAAACAAGCCAACAAACAAAACAATAAAAAGGCAGCTTCTCATGCCAGTAAAATTGAAAGGAGTATCATGCATTTTATTAAGATATGTGCTGCTTCCTACAGTAATTATGCCCCTTTCTAACTGCGCTTTCTGTTTATCAGTGATTTGTTTACTTGTCCCACTACAGGCATTCCTTTTTATCCTTTTCCTTCTTTCCATGTAAATGAGAATTTTAGAAAAAAAGAGAAAATAAAGTAAATTTGGTAAGATTTTAATCACTAAGTAGCACTGATTAAATAGACCCTGAATTCATATGAAGCTGAATAACGATTTATCCAATATTCATAACAGGCTTTCTTTTTTCCAACCACTAGCTGATGAAGCTGAATTAATATGGCTTAAAACTGAGATACTATCTATTAACATGCATGAACTGAATGAAGACTGTAAGGGATTTATGTTTAGTCTTAAATAACGAAAAAAAAATAGTAATTTTTAGTATAAAGAAAACACTTTCCCTATAGGTCTACCAATCAAGCTAATAATCTATAAAGAATTCTAGACACACTAACTATACTTTTTTAAAATAAAATAATATTTACCACAATTTCTATTCAAATCTTTAAAATTCTTCTGTCTCAAATACATTTAAAAAAATTCCTCCAAGGGCTAATGTACAAACTTGGGAAAGAGTGACAAGGCTTCCCTCATAAAATCTAACACAGGGAGGAAAAAAATCTACTTAAACAAAATACACTCAGTAGGTCTTACCTGATCATCTAAAACTGGTAGAGACAAATCAAGGAAAGATTCATGAACCAAGGAGACCTTAATCAACCAAAACAGATAAATGTAAAAAGGAAGGAAAAGATTCATTTTAGACATTATATAGTAAGATTATGGTGGGGCGTTACATTTTAAAATAAATTCTTAACAAAATAAAAAATTATAGTGTTGAGGGCTTTGGGTTAGGAGAAATAACTTAAAATGTTAAACTAACTTCTTTCAGACAAAAGGAGTGCTCACAGTCCCAGGAAAGAACTCTGAAGATTTGCACAGCCCAACAGATAAAACCTTATGAAACTAGAGACTTCTGTTTTTTAAAGACACAACGGATGAAAGAGTCTATTAATATTAATGAATAAATCCAGTCCACATTACATCAACTTACAGTTCTGCATTCATCACACATGATTGTACTAGTTAGTTCACCACCAAAGATGCGGTCCACAAAACTTGGTATAGATTTTTTCTTTTCATAATCTAGAAGGGGAAAAAAAGTTTATCAATTACCCTTACATAATTAACAGAATAAGTTAAAACTATTTACTTACCTATCTAACCTTAAAATTTTATTTTTAATTTCCTATCCCACAGGTTTTCTCTGTTCATAATTACCATTTTATTTTTATGCTGTAGTCAGCAGCAAATACTCCACTTTTGAGCATAACACAATTTAACACAATCATGTCTCATGAAAAAGAAAAAGTTCTTATCCTAGATCGGGTCAGTGGAAAATAAACCATCCAAGTCAGTGAGAGCTTCTACATGTCAATATCCCACTAGTAAAATGAATAGATGGGGCCAAGCTGGACGATACTCTAGACAACTAGATATTACTACTAGATATCTAATAATATTCAGCAGCAAACTTAGGAGAGAATGCCCATAAACTTTTAAACTCTAAGACTGAACTCCATTCAAAATCAAATCAAAAAACAAAAAAAAAAAACACTGGGAAAATGTTTCAGACAAAATCTTCTTTTTATTTTTTCTATGTTCCCAGAAATAATCTTTGTAAGTTTAGAATAAGACAATTTTACCACCTGGTCACCCAATTTTCTAAATACGTGAAATATATAAGCCTTATTCAAATGGTTAGTTTTATACATTTATACAGAAATACACTTGATGACAACAGCACCAGCAGGGCAGGATTCTCTCTGCTACTGGCCTGGCCCTAAAGGACACTGAAGAGGCAAACAGGTGCTATGTGTTGATTCTAAACTGTGCTTCAAAGGGGTCCCTGGCTGGCTCCATCAGTAGAGCACCTGACTTCTGATCTTAGGGTCCTGCATTCAAACCTCACAAAAACAAAACAAAACAAAACAAAAAATCATGCTTTACAATATAGTAGCCACTAGTCACTTGTGATGATTTAAATTAAAATTAAATAAAGGTAAAAATTTAGCCCCTCAATTGCCCCAGTGACATTTCAGGAGCTAAATGGCCACATGTGTCTAGTGGCTACTGTATCAGCATAAATACGGAAGAGTTCCATTATCACAGAAAGTTCTATCGGACTGGTCTGTATTAAATCTTTAAATGCCACACAATAATAATGAAGTTGGCTCCATGATGAACAAACCAGCTATTGACAATTCACACAGACAAGTGTAACTCACATATCACTGCTCATTAGAAATATAGTTGACCTTTGAACAACACTGTGTTGAACTGTGTGGGTCTGAACTTTGTGGGTCCACCTATATGCGAATCTTTTCAATAAATACAGCACAGTACTAAAAATGTATTTTCACTTCCTTATGATTTTCTCAATAACATTTTCTTTCCTCTAATTAACTTTATGTAAGAATGCCATACATAATACATATTATAAAAAAAATACATGTTACTTTTCTGCTTAGGTTATCAGTAAGGCTTACGGTCAACAGTAAGCCATTAATAGTTACGTTTTTGGAGAGTCAAAAGTCATAAATAGATTTTCAATTGTGCAGGAATGGGGACGGGAAGAAACTGGTGTCCTTATCCTCTGCATTGTTCAAGTGTCAACTGGGTAAGCTTTTGAAAAATAAAACTGTGATCTCATTTTAGTTCTATCTTTTTAAATTTCACTATAATACTGCATAAAACTACACCAAAGTTAAATTTTTCAGAAATATTCCCCTTTGGAGTATAAATAATTTTTCTAAAATCAATGTTGATAAAGAAAATTTATGTTAATAACTGAATTTGAAATAAAAGTGCCAGCAATCTTGTCCTAAGTTACAGAAGAATTCAACTATAGTGTGTTAGTTCAAAAAGTCAGACATTACCTTTAACTTTATTTTTTAGTTCTTCATCCAATTTTTCAGTAGAATTACCAAATGCTTTAAGAATTCCTTTACTCACTCTCTAAAAGTAATAAAATGGATATATATATACTATTAAATTTTTAAAGTTTTATAGTTATTTTCCTTAGAAAATATGTAATCAAGTCAAGAAAGTGATCAAGAATTAGCTCCCCAAACTTACTGAATAAAAATTAGTTATTTCTAAGATCACATTTTTGAAATTAATTCAAGGAGCTAAAAAAATTACAAAACAATCACTAACCCCTACACAAAGGCACTGTCTTACTTTAAGATTTTAAAAGACCACTGAAATATTATGTCCTAGAAGCAGACTATTTAAATGAGAGCTATAGGGGAATCCAGCATTCAAAGCCGAGAGCCACCATTACGGGGTGACCTTGAACCAGGTCCTGAATCTTATTTACACCCTAGCTTCACAGTCTATGGAATGAGAAAATGATTAACAGCATCCACCTCAGAGAAAGGTTGGGAGGACCAAGTAAGATAATTCACATAAGATTCTAAAAACAATGCTTGATATAAAATAAGAGCAAAATAAATGTCATCACTAGTCATCCCTTGTTATTACTCATATTACTATTATTAATTATACTCAACATCCCCAAATACATTACTTTACATCTGGCAATTTACAAACATATAAAAACATAACTACATTCCCTGACTCTTAAAAATGAGCATACTTCCTAGACTCAAAAAGCTGTGTTAAATCACACTCAGAGTAAGAGTAAGAATGCGCTGCAACTGGGAACTGTTTTGGGAGAAACATTTTCCAATACTCTGGAGCTCTCCTGGCATAGGCTAGTACAATAGAACAGAACTCCTAAAGAATATTAATGCCCTAACCACCAAGGAAAACAGAGCAACATGAAAAGGAGAATCATTTCTAATTCTCTACATTCATTCTACTGATTAAAGTATACTAGCTGAAAACACTGGTGTGGAAAAAAAATGTTAAGTATAATGGCCTCAATAACTAGTTTTCATTGCTTTAATAAGCCTTCAGATGTTAAATTCTGGACAAGTTAATGAAGATGGGATTATAAATTATACTGGTCAAAATATGCTAACTTGTTGTTCTTCTGCTCTCATTCCATCCAATAAATATCGAAGCAGCTCCTGGCTGTCTTGTTGCTGATAGCCTTTAAACCGTACTGCTCTACAGAAAAAAAAAAAAAGAAGAAAAGACAGAAAAACAATGATGAGTCTACTAAAATATGAAACTATTTTTACAAAATCTTAGGATCACATTCCAAATCTCAGAGTAATCTACTTTCTTAAAATTTCCATTCAGTTTGACAGACCCTTAGTAGATTTAATTTTCACATGAAGTTCATGTTTTTTAATCCAAATGAAATAACCATGCTGTAATATACATACTGGATTGACTTTAATGCTATTGAGTTTTTCATATTATTTCTCAGCATCTTACTGATGCACTGAAAACAAAATCAAAGCAGATACTCACTTTTTACAGACCTGAGAAAAGAGTTCTTTAGGTGTCACGATTCCCTTTTTGGTCTCTTGCATCTCATTAAGAAACTGGCTCATGGCTAAAGTAAGAGGGCCTGGAGGCTCAAGGTTTATTTCTAAGGGTTCCTGAATATGGGAATAAAAATTACTTTCTTCAGTCAAAGTTTGGAATCATTTATGTTACCAAAATGTAGCTAATCAACTGCTATTGCCCATGTTCCTGATAGAGCTGTCACATTTAAAACTTCCAAAAATGTACATCAAAAGATGTAGAAAGTTTCTGTTCATTGACTACTTATGAAAAAAATCAGTTCTACTGTTTTAGTTTTAGTATCAGGAGCAGACCACCTAAGAACTGAAAGAGCCAGAGCGAAATGTGAATAATAAAAATGGATAGGATAAAATTCATTTTACTACACACAATTTAAGCCACCTGAAAAGCTGTTGAAAATAATAACGCATGCCTAAGGCTTCATGCCTATCAACAGCTTTCCCAAGAATGACACCGAACACCAGAGCACAGCAAAACATTGCATACATGTAGCAAATAAATCTAAAGGCTTAATCTATTAGCCTGAAAATGTTTCACTCAGTAGTCTAAAGTAAAAGCAAACAAAACAAGTAAAAAAAGGTGGAAATGAGCATCAATTCTTTAAAATAATTTAGAATGCAGATATTCAGAGAGGAGAATTACTGATTGTAAAAGAAAATCTTTAAGTACATACAGTTAGTGCCAAATCAGGAGGTTCAATTTTTACAATTGTTCCAGACATTTTTACTTCTTTTAGTAGTTCTCTCAGCACCGGTGTTTGTGACAAATTCTGGAATATGGGATGGAAAGAAAAGGAAACTTATTTAAAATCAAATCAAATATTTACTTTATCACTAAAATATTTAAACAGTTTAACTGTCTATTCTATCAAAACAGAAAATTACTATCAACACTACAGTCTTTGTTTTATCTAGCTCAGGAAACAAAAAGTAGCAGCACGCTCTTTTCCTCCCACTTTATCTGGCTCATAAATTCTTCAGTTCAGAGCTTACTCATCACCCCAAAAGGGCACTGCCTACTATCCAACATGAAGTAGCTACATTACCATTACCACCACCTGTAAGTAGGCATTTGTTTCTGTACTAGGTTATCCTGTGCTTACCCAACGTTTGAGTACGAGTTCCTTGAAGCCAGGGGCAATGTTTATTTTGAACTCTAATGCACGCAATGCTTAGCACAGTGTTTTACTGTCATATAAAGTCAACAGTTCCTGAAGTATTCTTCAAAAACCCAGAAATAAATTACTTGGGGAAAAAATTAATACTATAATAAGAAGTATGCAAGAACATCCTATAATGTGAGGGGAAAAAGTTTTAGAGAGGGAAAAAAAATTAACATTGGCACCTGCATAACTGCATTGAAGAAACATGTATTTCCTAAATTACTGAGTCCTTTCACAGTTATTTGGGAAGCAGAATTAGTGGAAGGATTTTCTTTAGTCATGTTTTCCTTTTTTTCTCGCTCTTGTTCATTTTTACTCTCCTTTTCTAATTTTTTATTTTCAAGTTCAATGTTACCATCTTTTGCTGCTTTAAGGGGGAAAAAAAGGGAAGAAAAAAGAGATTCAGCAAAATGTATGATACAACTATACCAAATGCAAAGTTATACTTGGGACAGAGTACTAGAATTTGTGAAATTTTACCTAACATCATTATTCCCATCTGTTTGATTTTAAATGTTTTCTAATAAATGTAAGTAAATTACCATCACAAGAGAAAAACTAATAAAAAATATTTGAAAGTGATGGAAGCATTAGTTTGACAAATGAAACCAAACACTGTATGTTTGGTATAAACCTTCCCCTTTTTACTGCAAGACGTTTTTCAATAAATGAGCACATCCTACCTTATGAAATTAGAGTATAAAGCAATCAAGAATGTGGACATGAAATATATTTTTAAATGAACAGGTCAAAAATGAACCCTGAAGTTAAGAACAAATAATTCTGGCTGGGCAAAGATACTTCTGTGACTGTAAAAATCAAAACGAGTCTAAAGCAGATGATGTATGCCAACCCAATCAACTTAATTATGCATGAAAAAAAGCTGAGAACTATCTGGCCTTCACTTTTGTATTATCCAAACACAAATGTAACAAAATAAATTCAGTGTGAGGCAGGCCTCTCTCAAGCCCCCCTCTACAGAAGGGGCATCACTGCTCATTACTTCAGACTCATCACAGACTCTAACTAGATGATTTCTCAGATTCTCTTCCCACACAGTATAATAATCTATATTCCCAATGTTTTACATTCTTAACCAAAAATAGTTTGTTTGAAATCAACCATAATTCATTTTATTCAGGTACATGTAATGCTGATCAGTACAGATACATTAATGGATAAAGATACATTAGTTAACATTATACACTAGATAATTAAGCTAAATTAACATTAAGTTAACATTAAATAGATAATATTAAGTTAACATTACAGCGTACATTAAAAAACAAATGATTTTACCTGATTTTGGAGTTGTAATACCAGCTTGTTTTCTAACATAATCAACCACCTGACCCAATCTGTTTGAACTACAATACTGGACCTCATCATCACATAGGTAACACCTGTGTCCCAAAAGAACACAGAGAAGAAAAGTGACAAACACAACCATAAAAGGGGACAAATTATAATTCTTGGAACCCAAAAATGTGTAACCACCAAATTATTCTATTAAAGAAAATGAAAATAAAAACTCTGTGGTTTCTTGAGGAAGATTACCCATGTTAACTCTGGTTTACTATTAGTAAAATTAGCCAGAACTGTGGCTACATACAAATACTATGGGAAAACTCCAAACATTTTACTGAAATGGCTAGTTACAATATTAGAGTCAAAAGTTTTTTCTACACATATTTCAAAATACAGACCTACATCATTAAAATTCACAAGTTTTAAAATTGACAGATGATGTTCTGTGAACACGGCTGTATAAATGTTTTTTAAAGATGTGAAAATTTGTTTTGATGTTACAAGAAATACATGTACCAGTCTGACATTTATTTTCACGCAAATTAATTGCCAAAATTTTACTATATTCTCAGTTCATCTGAAATTTGTATTCAGTGTTTCAAATTTTAAATAATAACCCACCACATGCCATTTATAATATCACAAGCAAGAAAAACAAACGGGTGAAGATTCACATGTCTTCTACATGCTACAATTTCTATGTGTTTACAATACTAAGCAAAAGGTTCTCAAATATCACATTCTCAAGCCTTCTGAAAGTGATAGTATTTAAACAAATTCTACAAAAATTTAAACTTTCTTGCTCCTTAAACATCTCCATTCCCCAATATTTCAAATAGTTACCAGTCAAATGATAGGCACAAGAGTTGAAACTTACCATACACTCCAGTTGTCCAAACTGAGAACCAGACAATGAGGTTCAGATCTTGGTGTCATATAGTGCTTCAAGGCGTGTTGCTCCTGAGAATCTCTGCCACAGCCCTAGAGAATCATAATCATAAACCTCGAAGCCACAAAAGTTCACAAAAAGAGAATTCATAATTCATAATGCAAAAGAAAATGGCTTGAAAAATTCTGTCACTCTTACAATTCTAAAATAACACGCTAGACTCCAGAGAGAGTACCAATTTTGTGAAAACCTAAATACGAACAGGCAACTGAGAACATCTCAACAAGAAGGTATTTAGGAACAGTGCACTCAAAGTATTCTTCCTCTCCAACTTATCCTTTCTAGTCCCAACTAAACCACGTTAATGAGCCATTCACTAGGTCTAGTGTGAGCCACTTAACAGCTTCCTAAGTATTTTCCTAACTTTGACTTTTTCTTCACATACATATTTTTTCAGCTTAATAGTATCTGAAACAAATTTCTGTTCATATACTCAATTCAAAAATTATGAATTGCTTTCAAACTTCTTTTTATTACTTTTTTTTTTTAAAGATTTTATTTATTTGTCAGAGTGAGAGAGAGAAAGAGAGAGGCAGGCAGAGGGAGAAGCAGGCTCCCTGCCAAGCAAGGAATCCCATGTGGGATTCAATCCCAGGACCCCAGGATCATGACCTGAGCCAGAGACAGACGGTTATAACCAACTGAGCCACCCAGGCATCCCTGCTTTCAAACTTCTAATTAACAAACCTAATACCATCTGACCTCACCCTACTTTCTGGAGTTAACTTTCCTATTGTCCTATATCAAATCCCACCCAGTTGTCAAGGTCTAGCTCAAAGGCCACCTCCTCTCAGAAGCCTATGTTTATCCTCCCAGATGAGAAAACACTGTATTCTTGCTGTAAACAAACTCCTACAAAACATGGTGTAAATTCCTGGTGGCATTCCTTATGTTCTACTTCATATTAAAGTTGTTAATGTTTATATCCTTCTTTCTCTGAACTATAAATCCTGAAGATACAAAAACAGAATTAATCTACTACTACCAAAAAAAAAAAAAAAAAAAAATTAGCAAATGGAAGGAGGTCAATACTTAATTACAAGCAAATGGGAGATTTTCACCTACAAGATGTATAGACTTAGTCATAAAAGAACATGACCAGATTTTCTGTCTTTTGCTGGCTAAATCACTGTTATGAAATATATCTTCACTATGTATCTATCTGAATCAGGCCACAAACTCTCTTAGATTGCACTACAGAAGTGGTCCTGTTTCTCTAAAGCTAAAAATATACCTTGAAGGGGAACTGTTCATCAATGGCTTCTAACCTTCTATGGTATCAATACCACTGATTTAATTGATCCCATTCAATATTCAATGCTAAAATAAATGATTAATTTTGAAAAAAAGTTTTCTTAACACCATTTGAGATCATCTGAAACTTAAGAATGAGATGACCTGTCTTAAGGTAGCAGTTGAGAGGGCGCCTGGGTGGCTCAGTGGGTTAAGCCTCTGCCTTTGGCTCAGGTCATGATCTCAGGGTCCTCGGATCGAGCCCCATATCGGGCTCTCTGCTCAGCAGGGAGCCTGCTTCCCCCTTTCTCTCTCTGCCTGCCTCTCTGCCTACTTGTGATCTCTGTCAAATAAATAAATAAAATCTTTAAAAAAAAAGGAGAGCAGTTGAGAATCTCTTGCTAATAGTGCAAAAGGTGACTATAGCAGGACGAAAGTTAACAATTAAGAGTGATATTATCTTACCTTTAGGAACTAAGTAGGTAGCAAAATAAAATTTATAATAGGAAATGTATTCTGGAAAAGGTAAAGTAAAATATATTCATTCTCACTCTATAAATTTAAGAGTTTCAGTGAAAACCTTTCAAATACAAATAATAAATGTGTTCTTTGCTAACATTCAATTTATTTTTTTAAGTAGGCTCCACGTTCAGCATGGAGCCTAGTACAGGGCTTGAACTCATGACCCTGAAATCAAGACCTGAGCTGAGATCAAGAGCTGGGTGCTTAACCAACCGAGCCACCCAGGAAGCCCCAACATTCAAATACTTATAAATTGTCTGACTGCAATGAGATAGCACTATTCTGCTATCAGAACTGTTAAAAATAAACTGCGACAGTACTAAACGCTAGCAAGAATGCAGAGACAGTTGATCACTCATACAGACCAGGTAGAAATATAAAACATTAACGGACACTCCGGAAAACAGTTCAGCAGTTTCTTAAAAACTAGATATTCAAGTAGTACATAACAGTAATTGCACTTAGACATTTTTCCAGAAAAATGAAATTATAAAAATTCATAGCAGCTTATTTGTAATCACCAAATTTGGAATGAGAGCAGACCAGATGTCCTTCAACGGAAGAATAAATAAACTGTGATACATCTATAGCATGGAATACTACTCAGTAATAAAAAAGAACTACTGATATACACAATTTAGGTAACTCTTAAGGCAATTATGCTCAGTGAAAAAGCCAATCCAAAAATGTTGTATACTGTATGATTCCATTTACATAAAATTTTTGAAATGATAGAATTTTAGAAATAAGGAACAGATTAGTGGTTGTTGGGGGCTTGAGGGAGAGATGGCAGTAGGGATGTGGGTGTAATTTTAAAAGGGCAACATATGGGGTGCCTGGATGGCTCAGCTGGTTGAGCGTCCACCTCTTCATCTCAGCTCATGTCTTGGTCTCAGGGTTGTGAGTTCAAGCCCTGCATTAGCCTATTTTAAAAAGGGGGCAGGGACATGGGCAACACAAGAGATCTGTGTAATTTGACAGTACTTGGTATCTTGACTGTGCTGGTGGAAACATGAATCTAGACAGGTGACAAAACTACACAGAACTTAATACACACAATCGCACATGCACAACATACATACACACAAATGAGAAGTAAAACTAGGAAGAACTGCTTAAAATTGATGGACTGTATCAATATTAACATCCTGGTTGTGATATTATACTATAGTTTCATAAAATATTCCACTTTGAGGGCGCCTGGGTGGCTCAGATGGTTAAGCGTCTGCCTTCGGCTCAGGGCATGATCCCAAGGTCCTGGGATTGAGCCCCCATCGAGCTCACAGCACAGCAGAGTCTGCTTCTCCCTCTCCCACTGCTCCTCCCAGCTCCCACCAGCTTATGCTCTTTCTCTCTCACTTGCTCTCTCTCAAATAAGTAAAATCTTTAAAAAAAAAAAAGTTCCACTGGGGGAAATGGGGCAATGTATATAAGGATATCTCTATATTACTTCATACACTATATATGAATCTATAATTATCTCAAAAAAAAAATTCCATTGAAAAGAAAAAAAAAAAAAAAGTCCTCTGCCTCATCTTGAAGCTTCCTGACAGGAATGCCTACCAGCCCAGTAGCCTAACATTTGAACTTAACTTGCCACCAATAACGGACGAAAAGACCTGACCTTTGGTACCATGGCAATACTGTGAGCTGTTCTGCCCCTAGATACCATCCATGCCAAGATCCAGGTACTCACTCCCCCAGCTGCCATGAATGTGGCCTACTGACAGCTCACAGCTCAATCTATCCATCCCCAGGAATTATCCTCAGTGTAATGAAGCTGCCTTGCCCAAGGTTAGTTCCCCTCCCCAGCAGCTTCCCACAGCCAGTGTTTAGTCCATGCACAAGTACAAAGGCCTGGCCCCTTCACTCAGTTCAGGACACCTCTGAAGGCCAGAACTCATTATGGGATCAGCTAAGGCGCCATAGTACTGCCTCTTACTTCAACTTCTCCCTCTGCTTAATCTTGCCTCCCTCTCTTCCTGGTTGTGGTACTTGAGAACACTATCCAATAAACCATATATACACAGACCTCAGTCCCCAATCTGTTCTCCAGGAAAAAGGACCTAAACCAGCTGGCAGCCTACTCACCCAAACTGTGGTTTTACATAACACCTTCTAAATAAATACAAAGAGTTTTATAAAATCCCATATTGATCAAAACCGAAGCATACCTGATGCCCACATTTAAGACATAGCCAAATTGAAGGGTTTTCTTCCGTTTCTTCTTCAGATTTATCTTTTATTTTATTGTCCGTCTTACAATCTTGGCAAATATTCCATTCCACATTCAATAAAGCCCTTTTCAAATTACCTTGTTCCAATCCTTTTCTAATGTGTCTGCACATAGGTTCTATTAAAACAAATAATAAAGGAGTATGTGAGATAAAAATGGCTTTCTGCAGTTAAACTCAAAACTTACCCTTCATCTGAACTTCAAAAATGAATTTATAAACAAACTGTTAGATAATCTGAAAGCTTAAATTTCTGTTCGACATTTGAATATTATGATGATGTGAGAAAGAGATTCTATACAAATTTTATATTTTGGCTTTTTGAAGTCCCAGGTATAAACACCACCTTCCCAAATTCACTTCAATTCATTTATCTGTTTCCTTTAAATTAAGGCCTTTATCATATTAATTATTCTCTTTATCTTAAAAGGTTCATGAAGAAGGTCTTTTGTTAAGTCAACAATATAACCATCGCAAGCCCAGCACCGTGATGGGGTCAGAAAACCTAAAAAAGACCAAGCCACAGTTCTTCTCTTTGAGTAGTATTCTGGCAGAAGCAGATAAGTAAATAAATAAAAAAAAAAAGTAAATAAACATATAAGAATCTCCAAAATGTTAAAACAAACAAGAACAGTATCTCCAAAATGTGCTACAGCAGTACACAAAGGGCTAAAATCAATGAAGGTTACCTAGACTAGGTAACATCTGTACAGTCTTATTTATAGTGAGAAAGTTTTCTGATATTAAGCACTTATATGAATTTGACACTGTGCTAAATGTTTTTGCATACATGATCTCATTTAATTCACACATCCCCCTAAAAGAAAGACACTACTATCCCCACTGACAGATAAGAAAACTAAGATTTAGTGCCCAAGATCACATAACTACAGAATGGCTATGCCAGAATTTTGGACTCAGGTCTTCCTGACCTCAAAGCTCACACTTTAAACTATAAACTCAGGGACTGAACAACTGAAAAGGCCGTATCCCACGAACAAAAGTATGAGGGTATAAAATATCAAAGTGCATACTGTCTCCTCAGACTGTCATCTCACACATGTGTAAAAATGAACAGCAGGACCTGAGCCCGAAAACCCTGTTGGGACCAGATCAGTAAAGGGCTTTGCAAGTAACTCTAAAACACCTCAGTTGTTTCAGGGACCCAAGAGGTTCAGAAACCAGTCAAGTGGCACATTTAGCTTTTGTACAATGAACTTAACCAGCACCCAGAGAAAATAAAAACAAATGAGATCATATAAAAAACTACTAAATCTCAATAGGTAGTTAAAGAAACACAAACTAAAAAAAGAAAATACTCTTTTTCAACTAGACAACCAGCAGATGTTTACAAATGATACCAGCCAGTGTTGATAATGTTAAGGGAAATGGGCTCTTTATTTCACTGGTAGGGGGCCTGTTAGTAAAAAAAATTTGAAGGGCATTTAGCTATGGAAGCAAAAGAGCCTTGAAAATATTTATGCCATTTATTTCAGCAATTCTACTTGTAAAATCTGTACTAAAAAGATAGTTGGATGTGCAAAGAGATTTAGCTACAAAAATGTTTACTATCACTCCATTCATATCATTGAAAAGTTAAGGATTACCTAAATTTGTGTTAGCAGTGGGAATTACCTAATTATGAAATATGTTCCCATGGTCCTTTACATCAATGGAGTATCATGTCATTAAGAATATCAAGACTATTAAATGACATGTAGATAAAAACATTAAGTTAAAATGCAAATTAAAGAACAATAATGTACACTTTGATCCCATTTGTACATATTAAAATATATGTCCATTTAGGGATATAAACATAACTTTAAAGATTCAATTGGTAAAATATACCTAAAGATTCAGAAGAATCATCAATTGGAACAGTTTTTCCCTTTGTCCGTTTCTTTCCCATGTTGGCACTTTATGGATTACTTACTGACACAAAATAACAATCTAGAAAACAAGATAAAGTTAGCTTGACAAAAAAAAAAAGTATGTTTTATATTTCTCTAGGCGATAGTAACTAAGCCACATATTTTACATCTATCACACTTTATAATTTACAAAGACCATTCACATATATCATCCAGTTTTCAGTAAGAATTCTGAAGTAGACAGGAAAGTGTTACTCCTGTTTTTCATAGCTTAGAAAACTGATTCTTAGTAAGATTAAGAGTTTTGCAATGAGTGTAAGAGTCAGGAAAGAATCTGTGTCTTCTTATACAGATCTTTAAAAGTCTCAGCACTTTATACTACCAGGAATTCAACTTTTCATTACATAAATGTGGAGTGGTGGTGGCATTTTGAAACAGAATAATGTCGCTTTCCCGTAAGCTATCTTTCTTAACTTTGCAGTCTATGCAAATCAAAGTGATAATTTCTCCAAGAAAAATATGAAATAATTCTGAAGATAATCTACTAAAGGGAGTTAGAAAATTTACAAATTTCAAAGCCAAATATAAAAAGTGATCCACTGTTCCATATTTTCCATACCAGGATTCCCTCTGGGTATTAGCTAACTGAGAATTTATAACAACTGCATTCTCAACTGTTTACATTATATTACTGCCAAAATCAGTTTGGAAGACTATAACAAATCTAGCTGCACATCAAATCTTCATCTCCTCAGTCAACAATTCAAAATTAGAATATATGAAAAGTACTGAAAGTACATACAGATCTACCTAACTTTAAATGATAACGATTCTGAAAACCTGTACTTCACTTCAAATAACTTAGTGTCAAAATCACCTGGATGACTACAGTAATTATTTTACCTGGGATGTTTATTAAAATTCTGATTACATAAGTGGAAAGCAGGACCTGGGAGACAGGTTTTGAAAACACTTCCCAATTAATTCTGATACTGAGCTGTCATCCTGTCGTGGCTAAGGTCTTAGAAATATTCCTCTTTTAGCTCTTACTTGTTTAGTTAGTTAATTCAAAAAGGTTTATATGAAGTGCCACATCTAGTAATAGTTAAACTTTCCAAGGATCTAAAATTTAACACGGCTCCATGTTTACAAAATAAACAAATTAACTAACAACAAACAAAATAACACAAAGTATACAGGCATATATAAAACTAGGGTACTTTTTACGTACACTTCATACCCCTAAGATAACACGTTACATAATTTATCTTCTCTAGAATTAGAGATTTTAAGGGGGGAAAAAAACAGTACCCAAGTTCTTGCCTCAATCCAACTCCCTGTAATCTGTGCTGCATTCCAGTACCAGATACATATAATAATACCATTTTCCTCATATCCATGCTTCTGACCTGTGCACTTACGGTCCCTTATAAATTGTCCTCAGTGCTCTGGTAATCCTGATTCTCATTACTTCTCAGCAAAGAACCAGTAAAGTTTACTTATACCACACTTTTTATCTCCAAAGCCATTTCATAAACATTATCTTATTTGATTTTACACAACCCTTTAAATGGAGCGTTTTACTAAAGGAAGAAACTCAGAAACAAAATGACCAAAGATCACAGAGTGGCAGAAATGGAATTAAAACACAGATTTTTCAGTTCCAAGACCACCACTCTCTGCATTACCGTCAAACCAGTCTCTCCAAAACACTGTGGCCCCACCTCTATGACTTTGATTTCTAGCTAGGATGTTCTCTCCTCTAGCAAAATCTTACCAATTCTCCAAGATGTTCATTTCAATGAAGCCTTAGGCAACCATTCTACTATAAATAAACCTCTCAACTTAAGTTTCCCAACCTTTATAAGGTGCGCTTTTCCTTTTGTCCCCTAATCCCATGGGCTGCTTCTTAAATCTTTGACCTGGACACGTGTTATTTCTCTATCTGGAATCTAAAGTTCTAGGAGAAAGAAATGGTTTTAGGCATCGCTTCTGAATTGCCTAAAGCATCTAATATAGTGTTAGTACATATAAAAATACTTCCCAAGAAATACTGCTTGCACTGAAACAGAAAAAGAGCATAGTACCTGAGATATAAAAGACGATTATAAGGTGCATAAGTAGGTATACCTAAGAATGAAGCAAACAGGTTCCGGTGAAAAACAAAAAGGTAAAGAATTTAGAAGTCTCCAGTAGTGAAGACAGCATTAGCAAATCTGGTTTGAGGACTGCGGTAGCCCAGACACCAAAGAAAAACTTGACAACTCGAACTACTTCGGTGAGAGGACACTTCAAAGCTTCGGAAAGCGTTACAATAAATCATTAGCCGCTATAAAGGGCATCAAATAAACCTAGAAAAAAGAGTGGCAAGTACCATCAGCTATAAAACATCAATAAATCTATTAAGTTTTTCAGGTGAGTTCATATGAGAGCTTCTCAACCAAATTACTCTTTACAGGACTCCACACAAAATTTAAATCAAAGCTGGTCTTGCCGGTTCGCATACTAATACAGTTCCCTTCCCCTCCCAGTCCTCCCATGCCTGCCCGATTCCATTAAAAATGGAAGCGTTTGTAAAACTTTGTCCGCAGATCTTAAATATGGCTTTCAAGTTTGGCGTATATCTGACCTACCCTAGGGTCACTGAATCGTTGAGATGACAAATCCTGCTTTTCCTGCTAACCACCACACGGACGCGGCAGCAAACCCAACCCCACCTGTAGGGTGCTCCTGGCCGCGCGGCGCCCGCCACACCTCCCCTTCCCTTCCAACTGCTCGGCACCCACAGGGGAGCTTTCGGGTCCGGGGTCGATCGGGGCGCCAGCACCAACAACTCATTGGCCAGCTTCTGGAACTGACAGGACATGAAGCCAATGAGAACGCGGTACCGGGCCGAGGCCGGGTAACGTGCTTAAGGAAGAGGACCCTTCGAGAAGAGAACCAGGTCAAGGCAGGAAATTCGGGCTCTCAAAACGCAGGAAGTTATGCGAGCGGTGACTCCGAGTCAGTGGGAACAGAACTCACCCACGGCGACAGCGCCCATAACTGCATTCCCTAATGAGCCTGTGGGCTGGGCAGCCAGCTCTGTCTTCCTCCCGGTGACGGATGGAGAGCGACAGAGCTCAAGCCAGACTGACCCCTAGAAAGCAACAACTTCCGGTACGTGGCATTATGGGAGGTGGCTTAGTCCCAGGAGCCTGCGGCGCTGACGCTATTGCATTGGGGCTTGCGCGCACTTCCTTCCGGAAGTTCAGGTACAGCCACCTGGAAGAGCCTGGCTGGCAGTTTTCCTCACTCTGGTGTTAATTATGGAGTTGTTTAAATGCTTCGGAAGCATGAGTACCTGGTGGTGGTCAGAGTATTGGAGTCTCCTTGTTGGGTTACCTTATTCACGTTACATCTGAAGGCAGGCTAGGAGGGTAACATTTACATTTCACGCAGTTCCCCTTATTCTGCCCAATCGCCTTCTAAATGCTCAGTACGTAATTGTCTTGAATTAACCTTGCCAACGGAAGGTAAAATTTTCAAACATTTGCTACGTGTTCGTTAAAAAACAATAAGTGCCGCGCCTCCTGTGCAATGAATTAAATGAACACAGGCTCGTTACCCTGGGGTTTAGTCTTTTACAGAAGACACAACAATCGCTTGGGGGGAAAAAATGCAAGCGCCAGTAGAAAAATAGGCAAGGGATAGGAACAGGTGATTCACAATAAAAGGACAACTGGCCATAAGAGACAGGAAGAAATGTTCATCTTATTAGTAATCAGATAAAAGTAGATTAAGAAAGTGGCATCCTGACCTATTAAATTGGCCAGAGTAACAAGAGTTGCATTTGACTCTTTATCGCTGATAGAATTTTTTAACTTTCTTCACTCAGCACACAGGCTTTTTTCTTCTTCTATTCTAAAACGCAGTCTTAGGGACATTGTACCACTCGCTTCCTCTGCCTAGAATGCTACTCCCATTATCTTCTGTGGTTGCTATTTTATTGTAATTCTGTTTACAACTTAAAAGTCGCTTTCTCATAGAGAAATTGGGCAATCTAGGTTATAGAACCACCTGATCACTCCCATCACTTTATTTTATGTCACTACCCAGCAATTACCACTATCTAGTATTTTTCTTTCAAATTTACCTATATATTTCTTCCCCCACACACACACACTCATACATACACAGAAACATACAAATGTAAATGGGGCATCTCATTTATCTTGGTTATGGCTATCTCTAGTACTCAGAAGTACTCAGAAGTATCTGGAACATAGTAAATGCTTACTACATACTTATTAAAGGACAGTCATTAGAAATGAAAAATTTTGCAAGAGTGTTCATAGTAGCCTTACTCATAATAGCCAGAAACTAGAAACAGCCCACATTTTAACAAAATAATAGGAAAACTGTGGTATACTCATAAAATGGGATTCTAAGCAATAAAAAGAAACTGTAAGGCATAAGAACAGGGATGAATCTGTAAAATATTATAGGGGCGCCGGGGTGGCTCAGTGGGTTAAAACCTCTGCCTTTGGCTTAGGTCATGATCCCAGGGTCCTGGGATAGAGCCCCGCATTGGGCTCTCTGCTCAGCAGGGAGCCTGCTTCCCCCTCTCTCTGCCTGCCTGTCTGCCTACTTGTGATCTCTGTCAAATAAACAAAATCTTAAAAAAAAAATAAAATAAAATACTATAGTGGAAGAAGACTTACACAAAAGTACGTACTATGTAATTCCATGGATGTGAACAGGCACAACTAATTATGGCAGGCAAAAATCAAAAGTGGTTGCCTCTTGGGGATTTGGGTGGGGAATGACTGAGAAGGAGCATGAAGGAACTTCTAGGATGCTAGTAATGTTCTATATCTTAATAGGATTTAAGCTACACAGGTGTATGCATTTGTCAAAACTCAGCAAATATACATTAAAGATGTACATTTCATTTTTACCTCAAAATTAAAAATCAAACATTTGAATCTTAATGCTATGCAGGATGGAGTACTTAGGGAGAAGGATGCCAATGTGTAGAATTGCTTTGAAATGCATCAAAACAGATGGACTGATGAATGGATTAAATATAAATCAAAACTGGTAGAATAAAAGGTTACGATAGTGTCTACAATCATGACAACATCATGATTGTAGAACCTTAATCTTAGAACTATGGACAGTTTAAACCAGCAAATTCTTTGTTGTAGGGGGATATCTTCATCATTGTAGAAAGTTAAGCAGCTTCCCTGGACCCTATCCATTAGATGCCAGAAGCACCCTTCCAGTTGTGACAATTCAAAATGTCTTCAGATATTACCAAATGTCCCCTGAGGAGCAAAATCACCCCCTTCTTTCTTTCCTCCCTTGAGAGTCACTTCACTACTGTAAAATTCTCTCAACTTTACTGCATGCTTGAAATGTCTCATAAAAATTGGAAAAAAGGGGCGCTTGGGTGGCTCAGTTGGTTAAGTGTCTGCCTTCAGCTAGGGTCATGATCCCAGGGTCTTGAGCTTGAGTCCCATATCCAGCTCCCTGCTTGGTGGGAAGCCTGCTTCTCCCACCTTGTGCTCTCTTTTTCTCTCTCAAATAAATAAATCTGTTTTTAAAGTTGGAGAAAAAATAGACTAATAACATTGAAAATGTCCACAAAACAGCAACTCAAAGATGCAGCTATGAAAATGTATGTACTAATCTTATTTTCATAAAAAAAGTTGTGCAAGTTATTGATACCTTATACCAATAAATATATTCACAAAAAAACTTGAGATTTTTAAAAATGAATATGTAACATAAAGAAAAAGTGCATTCCCTATATTTAGTTTGTGAAGAAAAAAAATCTATATTACTTTCATGGTGGATTCGCCTTCAAACTGTCCTTTTATTATCAGAGACATATTTCTATGCAATAACACAGTATTTCCTAAAGTCACCACGACCACCATCCAGGCTCACCTCTCCCTAACGCCTTGCTATTTAGGGGCCAGAAGAATCCCTGTTGTGTGGGAAGATAGCAGAAACGCAGAACAGGGAACCCCACTCTTACATACTTAATCCCAAGCTACATAAAACCGAACGGATTCCTACCCATGTTTGTATTTGAGGAGCGTTACTTTAATGGACCATTCCTTGACCCAGGAACCAGTGCCGTCTGATACTTCTCCATGGCAGTGGCAGCAGCTGAGAAATGCCAATAGAGTGGAATTTGAACTCTGCGACTGAGAGGCATATAGCATTGCCAAGAATTCCAGCCACCGAGCACCTGCCAGGACCAAACAGCCGGGACCAATGGGCTTCCGGGGCATAGGGCCCCGCGCCCGCATGCGCCAAGCCGAGAGGACGTTGTCTCACTTCCCTTGGGCCGCGTAGGCTTCGGATTGCTTAGCAGAGGAACGCTGAGGCTCCCGCTGGATGAGACCTGAGCTGTCCGTGCAGCCAGAAAATCCAGAATTTCGCACTGAGGGGGTCCATGGCCCAGGTGAGTCTTCAGTCTACCGCTGCCCAGCCGAACCGAGGATTTCCCGCGTGGCCGAGGCCCGTGGCTACCTCCGGGAGCTCGGCGACCTCGTGGCCCCGCCTTCCCCACGCGCTACACTGCTCATTGGATAGAGCCGGCTCCGGCTGCTCCTGACCCCGCCCGCAGTCGGGACCTTCCCTTCCCGCGCTCACTACCACCCCCAGGCCCTTTCAGTTGTTAGGGGCGACGGCGCCTGTGCGCAAGGTTTCGGCAGTGGGTCTGCGACTTGCCGGGTGTCAGGGCTTGTGCCGCCTGTAGCCGCTGTGCTCTGTAAAGTAAGAATCTGCAAGGAAAAAAGAATGATTCCACTTAGGAAACTCAGTTTTCATTCTACATTTGTACAGCTTTCACTGAAATCTTGAGTCCGAAGATTCTCTTCGAGGGTTTTTGTTTTGTTTTGTTTTTGCATTGAAATCTTATCTACGAAAAAAGTTGGACAAGTAAATTATACACCTGTAGCATCGTTCCCACGGTTGTTCGCACACAGGTTGCTTGGCCCCAGACTTGTTTGCTGGCACTATTTCATCTTCCAGACCTCCAAATTCAGTGGGACTTTCTCCCAGCTTCACTCACTCAGTAAGTGACAAAACAAACATGCCTTTAAATATATGTTGGTTACTCCCAAAATTACATCTCCAGCCATATACCTCATAAATTGCATAATTGTACATCCAACTGTCTACTGAACATCTCTATTGAGTAAATAGATGTCTTAATAACACTTCATTACGTAGTATTTCTAAAATCAGGCTTCAAGTGTCCACCATCTTCCCTACCTAAATGCCAAACCCATCCTTCCAGTCTCTTAATGCCTTGGATTCATTCTTACGTATCACGTATAATATGTCAGTAAATCCTGTTGGTTCTACTCTTTCTGTATGTCCAGAACTCTAATGTTGCTCACCACCTGGACTACCACATCCTAATCCAAGCCACTGTTTTCTCTTTACAAGTCATTGTAGTGCCTCCCTGGTCTCCCACCTTTCATCCTCGTTCCCCTGCACATTTCACAGCATCAGATGTGGGCCTCTCCATAAGTAAGTCAAACCGCTGGATGAGACCAGTAAGTCTCTGGATGAGACTTACTGGTCTCATAAGTAAGTCAAGTCTCTGGATAAAGACTTACTGGTAAGTAAGACCACTGCGGTGGTCTTCCACATCGGACAGAATAAAATCCAAAGTCCTGGCCATGCCCTCTGAGTCCTAACTTAAACTGCCCCACATTTCCTCTCTAACCTTGCCTCCTAAAATTTTGCCCCATGCTTAGTCGGCTTCAGCACCTGGTCTAGCACCTCCCTGTCACAAGGCCTTTGAACTTGCTGTTCTTCTTGCCTGGAAAAGGCATTTTATGTGTGTGATTTTTGAGATTTTTTTTTATGATTTTTGATCATTGTTAGAGTCTTAGTGTGAAGGACAATGCTTGATACATAATAGGTGCTCAAGACACATTTGTGGATGAATATAACAACAGCAACCACTTTTACCGTACTCTGTTGCCAAGCACTGTTTAAAGCATTTCCACACACCATCATTTAGTCCTCACAGCGACCCTATCCTCCCCATTTTAAAGATGGGGAGACTGAGGCACAGAGAAATTAAGCCACCTGCCTAAGGTCACACAGTTGTTAAGTGCACGTTAGCAGTCTAAGTAGCAGAGTACATACTTAAACCACTAGGTTAAAAATACAAAATAAATTCACTTCCTCTAATAACCATCTAGCCATCTAATAACTTCTAATAACTAACCTCAACTTTAAAAGACTAGAAAAGATATTCATGGAACTCCAATGAGTTCAGGGATTTTGAATACTTACATGGATTTTTTTTTAAAGATTTCATTTATTTATTTGAGAGAAAGAGACAGCGAGAGAGAGCATGAGAGGGGAGAAGGTCAGAGGAAGAAGCAGACTCCCTGTGGAGCTGGTAGCCTGATGTGGGACTTGATTCCGGAACTCTGGGATCATGACCTGAGCCAAAGGCAGTTGCTTAACCAACTGAGCCACCCAGGCACCCCAAATTTTTTTTAATAACAGAGCAAATATATGTTAGGATGTCAAATGAAAATAGGATATAAAATTACATGAAGTGACTGGTTAGTAAAGAAAACATTGTGTTTAAGGAAGGGAGAAGTGTTTGCTGCTCTAACAGTTTTTGAAAAAAACTCAGATGATGGGTAGCATTGGTAATATTTAAACTATTTATATTAGGATGGCTAGATGACAAAGCAGGGATTCCTGATCTGTTCTGTGTAGAAGAGAGCTAATCTTCAGTCAGGGGGTGGAAAATCTGGGGTCAAATAGTTTTGGGATACTCAGCATACTAAAACTTCCTAGAAATTCACAGTCCCTTTTGGTACGTAACAATAAAGACTTTGAGAAGCCACATGCTAAAAGTGTCCCCATATAATTTACTCTCCAGATGGCGTTATTTTTGTTTAAGATAAATACTAGTCGGGACAATGGGATGGCCAACTGTCACCCTGAAGAAACCTGTTAAACTTTGTGTCATTCAACATTTCAAGAACTTATTTAGGCACAAAAATGCTCTGTGTAATTTTTTTTTCCCCAGCATGGCACTGATGCCTTGATAAACAATATTTTAATGACTTCAGTTGAAAAAGCACTGGGATTAGGAATGATGTGTTGGCATTGATTTATACTCTGGTCTGCGGAGACAGCCAGTGCATGCAAGAGTGCTTCCTATTTTCCTGATTGCTTATCCAGTTAATTGTAATGAACTCAACACCCCACCACATTTAGTCATTCTCATAGTCCTTAATGTGTTCTTTTTTTAAAATTATTTTTAATTAATTTTTTAATTTTTTATAATCATATATTTTTATCCCCAGGGGTACAGGTCTGCGAATCGCCAGGTTTACACATTTCACAGCACTCACCATAGCACATACCCTCCCCAATGTCCATAACCCCACCACCCTCTCCTGACCCCCTCCCCCCAGCAACTCTCTGTTTTGTGAGATTAAGAGTCTCTTATGGTTTGTCTCCCTCCTGATCCCATCTCCTTAATGTGTTCTTGATAGGACCTAATACAGTTATTGATCTGTCACTTGTGACTAACATACATTTCCATTTAAGTAGAATTGTTATTCTTTAAAGCTACCATACAGTGAACTTGCTAAATTGTTGACCAAATACCATTTTCTAATATTAAAGAAATTATCCAACTATATTTGGATGGAGTAAAGAAGATGTAATAAAGGGAGGACATGTTCTCAGAAGGCTTGATAATGAATCATCCAAGGCAGCCTTTGTGAACTGGGTCCACTCTAAATATGTTGGCATTTTGGGCTACCAGTCTGTGAAACTAACAGCCAGATCATGAACTGGGATAAATTCACTCCACTAAGTGGCTGTCAGGGTCTTCAGCTAGTTTGCCTTCAACTGAGGGAAACCTAACACACCCCAACTCCTCTCAGACTGCAACATTCTTACCCAATCACGGATTATGAGAACATATTCCTAATAAATAGTTGGTTTTCTCTTGCATGTCTTTGTAGACCTCTGTTAGACACTGCATACAATATGTAATAACAATATGGAGCATGAGTTGATGGAGGCAGTGTCCAGGTAAGAGGAGTCAAGGTTCTAGAAGGAAATAGATATGCACTCAACTCTGAAATTTTGAAGAGATTGCATAATGAAGGGACTGTTTACAGAGGTGCATTATTGCCCCTAGGCCTGGAAGATTTGCTGGAGCTGAGGAAGAAGGGCTGCCCACAAAAGCTATGGTCTTAAGGAGTCATGACCATTGTCAGAATCCCACCTAAACAAGAAAGATGTAGTGAAGAAATACCCTGGCTTCTTTCTCCTCCCATTCTCCCCTTTCCTGCCAGAGCATTAGCTGAAACTAACCACAAGAAAAAAGAGTGGGGTGGTATAGGCTGCAGAGGTCAGTTTTTTAGAGTCTAGAGCAAGGAAAAGAAGGACCAAGAATGTGTTTCAGGGACAAATAAGTAACTAGCAGAAAAGAAAATGGTCCGAATAATGAGCCCCTGAATTAGGCCTTTGTAGTCAGGGTTGTGAGGAAGGGACAGGTTCAGGTCTACACTATTTTTCATGTGCTTTCCTGCCTTACAGACCTTTCTTCTCTCCCCACTATGCTTCCTTCTCCACTTGTCTAAGTCTTAGCCTATATTTAGGCCTCAACTCAGGGTCACCTGGCTGGCTCAGTCGGAAAAGCATGTAACTGTTGACCTTAGGGTCATGAGTTTCAGACCCACATTGGGTGTAGAGATTACTTAAATAAAACTTTTTAAAAAAAATTTTGGAGAAAGATTCAACTCAGATCCTGTCTCCTTCCTTAACTCTTTCCTGATAGCCCATTTCATTGACATGTACTCCTCTTAATCCCCACAATAATGCTTATACTAGTCATTTAACACTAGCCAATTAACACATTTAGCCTTTTTTATCTGCATTGTTCTGTATCTTACTAGGTAATAAATCCTGATCCTCAAGCTAATTAGAAAGCTCCGCGAAGGAATGAAGCATGAAGCTCTACATACAGTATTTACTCAAACATTTACCCAAAGATGAGAAGGAATTCCATGAAGACGCCATTAACCAAGATAATAGTATTTGATTTCACAGAGTAAATTCTCTTTGAGAAGGTAAGACGTGTTTCCTTTGGAGCGATGGGACTGAGCTGTTTTTCTTTTCAGATGTGTAACTCCTTTTTTTCTAAATTCAGAAACACTACATAGTAATCCTAAAACTTCAAACAATAAAGAAGCGTATAAATTAGTCCTTCCTTTCTTCCTTCTACCCACATTTTACAAACTAATTTGGTGAATTCTCTTTCTGACTTTTTTCATGTGTGTATAATGATATAACAATGAATAATATGATCATACCTATTTATATTCTTTTACAGTCTACTTTTTTAAGGTAACTATTGTATCATGAATATCAGTGTCAATATGTATTTTTTAATGATCTCATAATATTCTGTTTAGATATATATTTATTTAACTAACCTATTGTTGAACATTTAGGTCATTATCTGATTTTTTTATTGTAGATAATAAGCAGTGAACATCCTTATAAACACCTTTTTTATATACTGTCTGATTTTTTCCTTAGATCAGTTTCACAGACTTAGATCAGCTTTCCGTATACCAAGTTTTTCTTCTATAACAATTATTAGATGTTAACCATCTTTGTGTGTATATGTGTGTGTATCTGTGTGTGTGTGTGTGTGTTTGCACATGCATACTAATTTAGTAAGTTAAAAATATTGTAGGAGCGACTTCCACTTTTGGAACAGAGTAGATATATTTTTCCTAATTTGTCCAGCTAAATACAACTAAGGATCCTGGACACTATAAAACGAATACAAAAGACTCTGAAAAGTGAAGAGGAAAGCAGAAAAACCAGGGGACCTTGGGAACCAAGGAAGGACACAATGGTGACTTCCTTGGTTATTCTTTTTTGCCTCAAATACCTGATATTTGATTAAAGAAGCAGCAACCGAGAAATATCAAGGGTACAGACCAAACAAATTGTAAAGCCTTAAAAAGCCCTGCTCTCTCTAGCTAAAGTACCAAGAAATGTGCAGCTGAGCAAGATGGAAAGCACTTAGATAATAAACGTGCTACATCAGATAAATACCAAAGAAAACACTGTGGCCTCTTCCCTACCACACCAGCAAAGTGCGCCTAGATTCTACTTTCACTGAGCTGTAATAACCACTTCAGTGCCCACTCCTTGTCAGGATGGTATAAAAAAAAAATGTGATTAGGGATCTAGGACTTTCCTCTCTGCTGGGTGAGAACGAGGACCTTACCAGGGTTTAGTGTCAGACCCATGTCAGATCCATGTCTGACCACTTGGGGAGCCTGTACTTCCCCTCTGATGCAGCAGTAACAAGGCATCCCACCTTCACCCTTCTGGAGTGATGTCCAAGAAGTCTAGTGGGGAGTCCACCTTTCACCAACACCTCACATTAACAAAGTGGCCCATCAGCATGCTGTTAGTGGAGACTGCATGGGTAACAATAAGGAGGCACTTTCACCCCTCCCAGGCAGAAGCTCCCCTTTTTCTCCCTTCTGAAGCAGGGTTTCAGAAGAAGTATGCTAAAATGGAAGATTTGAGTATTTTTCAGAGTCTTATAATACCTAAAATGTCCAGATTAAATAAATTTTTAAAAAATCATCATACCAAAAAGAAAGAAGGTCTCAAACTAAGTGAAAAAGACAATAAAATAGATGCCAATGCTAGGATGACAGAGATGGCAGGATTATCTGACAAAAGATACTATTTTATTTTATTTTTTTAAAGTAATTGCTACAGCCAATGTGGGGCTTGAACTCGTGACTCTGAGATCAGGAATTGCATGCTCTTCTTACTGAGCCAGCCAGGGCCCCCGACAAAGATTTTAAAACATGTATCATAGGGGCGTCTGGGTGGCTTAGTGGGTTATAAATAAAACTTAGGGTGCCTGGGTGGCTTTGTGTGTTAAGCCTCTGCATTCAACTCAGGTCATGATCTCAGGGTCCTGGGATCGAGCCCTGCATCGAGCTCTCTGCTCAGCAGGGAGCCTGCTTCCCCCCCCCCCCCCCCCCCCGCCTACTTGTGATCTCTATCTGTCAAATAAATAAATAAAATCTTTAGAATAAAAAAGTAAATAAAACTTTAAAAAAACCTATCTTAAAAAATTTTCAGTGAGCTTCTATTAAGAACTTCTATTAAATAAATGTTCATAATATCAAATGTGTGTAAATAACCCAGGGGCCCATCAGTAGGCAAAGAATGCAATAAATTATGACCTATTGACATGATTCAGTATGACAGTCAACCACTAGAAAGAATGAGATAAATCACTATGTACTGACAATGAATAGTTCTTTGATATATATTTGGAAGGGAAGAAGTAGGGAAAAAAGATATGTTTATATGATCCCTGCAGATACATTTTGATTATATATCTCACACTTTACGTATACATAAACATTATACCACCACATATTTTCCATTTATGTATGTGTATAATGCCTAAAATATTTTGTGTTACTGTAACACCAAAACCCTTCAACTTGGATGGGAGACTTAGGAAGGTAGGGGAAGAGATCACCGGTTGAAACTATATCTTCATTTTTTTAACCTTCTACCACTTGAATTTTATAACCTAGTACTTTTCTTTTAATGTTAACAGAGGTTACTTGAGCTGTGGGGTTGTTAGCATATTTTTTCTTCTTCACATTCTTCTGCTTTTTAAAAACAAATAAACACTAATATTAAGAGAAAAATATTAGCCATCCACAAAATTCTCTTATTCTGTTCATTCTAGGTTTCCAAAGTAACCAGTCATAGCCTCTCTCCTGGCTATATCACTGATACGGCTTTTGACTACATAATTAGTTTACTTCAGTGAAATTGTTCATTGTGGTAGCTCAAGATTCCAGGTCAACTATCCAGATACAGAGGAATTTGATGCCTGGTTATTATTACAGTTTTATGACTTTCACTGGATTGGCCCACAGTTTGGATCGTTAGTATATTAACATTCATTTAAATTTCACGTTTTATGAAGAAATCAAACACACTTTCAATAAAGACCTATATTGATCTATTGAGTTCTCCCTAGGTTCTATTTGTAAAATATCTCTTCTATCCTTACCTCCTTAGAAATTTATGGATATCCAAAAATGATTGAGATTGAACAGGCAGAGGCTCAGCTCTCTGAGTTAGACCTGCTAGCCAGTATGTTCCCTGGTGAGAACGAGCTCATAGTGAATGACCAGCTGGCGTTAGCGGAACTGAAAGATTGTATTGAAAAGAGGACGATGGAGGGACGATCTTCGAAAGTTTACTTTACTATCAATGTGAAACTGGATGTATCTGAGGAAACAACGGTAATTCACTTTGCTTTTTGAAGAACTGACAGCCTGTCAAGACTTAAAACACCACATAGGGCGTTTTCTTCTTTTTCTCTCTCTCTTTTTTAAATCAGGTGATGTTTTCTCTGGCCTGTATTCTTCCCTTTCAATACCCCGAAGTTCTGCCTGAAATTACTGTCAGGTATGTGACAGAAATTGGCCAACATCAACGTTAAAATTAACCTGAGAATAAAAGCAAGGTTTAACTTTGTTCTCTGTTCCAAGAAAATTGACTTCATTTTTTATTCCTTATTTTTTCCATCAGATCAGTATCACTAAGTAGGTCCCAGCAGACTCAGCTGAACACAGATCTGACTGCATACCTGCAAAAGAATTGTCTTGGAGACGTCTGTATATTGAATGCCACAGAGTGGGTTAGAGAACATGCTTCTGGCTATATGAGCAGAGAACCCATGCCTTCCCCTGCTCCAGGAAGTACATTCCAACCAGTTGATCTCATTCTCACAAGACTGTGGATCTATAGCCATCACATCTACAACAAGTGTAAAAGAAAGAATATTCTAGAGTGGGCAAAGGAGCTTTCCCTGTCTGGATTTAGCATGCCTGGGAAACCTGGTGTTGTTTGTGTGGAAGGTCCACAAAGTGCCTGTGAAGAATTCTGGTCAAGGTTTGCTTTCACAAATGTTGTATGCTGTGTCAATAATTTTATTAGTAAACAAGATACTAGAGATGTGGCAATTAGTATGTCCCTCGTGTTGTACCTTATGGGGAATTCAGTCTCAAGTCAGTGGATAAAATAGAACTCACATATAATCAGCATCACCCCCTTCCCTGACATGGTGCACACAGGAGATGTTCTGTAAATAGCTGTTTATTTGGGCCCTTGTCCAAGATGTTACGATCCCCTTCATTTCCATGGATTGGATTCTTCTTAGTGATGTGATAAGCTGTGCATACCTTGTGAAACAAAGGGGTTTCTCATCTTCTCATTTCTGTACTGACATCCTAAATGAGTTTCTAAGAAGTCCCTTTGGGAGTTTGAGATACAGCAGTTTTCACATTTGTAAAATGCTGATTTGAGGCAGTAGCAATGAATGAGTTTAGGGATAGGATCCTGACCACCACATTATCCCTGTGAGATAAAAGTAAATGTCTTTACTTCTGGGAAAAGGCATTGCTAAGTCTGTTTTATAACTTCTATTCTCAAAGCTCTAGAGGACAGAACATATTTTCAGTGTGTCTACTTTGAAAATTTCTTTTCAGACTCAGAAAATTAAACTGGAAGAGAATTTTAATTCGCCATCGAGAAGACATTCCTTTTGATGGTACAAATGACAAAGTAGAAAGACAAAGAAAATTTTCAAGTTTTGAAGAAAAAGTGTTCGGTGTTAATGGAGCCAGAGGAAACCACATGGACTTTGGTCAGCTGTATCAGTTTTTAAACGCCAAAGGATGTGCAGATGTTTTCCAGATGTTCTTTGGTGTGGAAGGACAGTGACTGGCAGAGGAATAATGAAAGTTTTTGTCACTGTTGGCCTTTTGATTTTCCCCCAGTCTTTCTTGAAAGATGAAGTAATTTGGGGCATCCAGGTGGCTCAGTCATTAAGCATCTGACTTTGATTCAGGCCATGATCTCCAGTTCCTGGGACCTGGCGTGCCACTCAGCAGGAAGCCTGCTTCCCTCTGCCCCTCCCCCTGCTTGTGTGCTCTCTTTCAGTCTCTCTCTCAAATGAATAAAGTCTTTACTAAATAAATAAATTTTAAAAATAAAAATGGATTTAAGTATAAGATATCAAAAGAGAGAAGAGCAAGTTAGATGGTCCTGCCTGTACTATATACTTTGAAAAAGACAATAAAAGCTGTAAGAGGGGTACCTGAGTGCCTGAGTGGCTTAGTTGGTTCAGCATCCAACCCTTGGTTGTGGCTCAGGTCATGGTTTCATGGTGGTAGGATTGGGTCAGAGTTGGGCTCTGAGCTCTGAAGCGAGTCTGCTTGGGATTTCCTCTCCCTCAAATAAATAAATCTTTAAAAAAAAAAAAAGAAAAGAAAAAAAGCTACAAGAAATTGTAGTTAAGGGTTCCTGGGTAGCTCAGTTGGTTAAGCATCTGCCTTCAGATCAGGTCATGACCCCAGGGTCCTGGGGTCAACTGCACATTGGGCTCCCTCCTCAGTGGGGAGTCTGCCTCTCCCTTTGCCTCTGCCCCCTCCTACTCCCCAGCATGTGCTCTCTCCTCCCTCTCTCTCACTCTTGCAAATAAATATAATATTTTTTTAAAAAAAGAAAACTGTAGTTAAATGTTAGGACACATAGCTTTCTTAGATTATTAGGAATGATTACATATTTGATACGATTACGTATTTGATACATAAATATTCCTATAGGGTAAAATTGACCAATCTGATTTTACATACATTTATTCCACAATGACAATCTGTCAGTGTCTTAATTTGATACATATCTTGAACAGGAATCATCTACAAAGAAATAATGGTAAATTCTGAAAACAAGCTATTTGTCCCAAATCAAACTATGGTTAAAAGTTAAAAGGATTATTAGAAAACAAGAGTGTGGGCAGGAAACATTGGCCATATGTCCACTTCTATTTGTAAAAGTAATTCCTGTACAAACCTTTTTTTTTTTTTTTTTTTTTTTGTGAGAGAGAGAGAGAGAGAGAGCATGAGAGAAAGTATATGAGCAGAGGGAGGGGCAGAGGGAGAAGTAGAAGCAGACTCTGCTGAGCACCAATGCAGAACTTAAAACTCATCCACTTGGACACATGAAAAGACAGGTTGAAATGAGGGTTCAAATGAAAGTAAAGGCAAAAGTACTCACCAAGTTTGCGCTGCTTCTCTAGATGAGAAGATTCAGCCCCACGTTGGCTGCCAGAATGATGTGGTTTGGAGTGGTGGAGTTCAGAGCCCACGGTCAAGAGAGATTTCTTGAGACAACTTTGTGCAAAATGGTGGCTTTGTTAAAACACAGAGATAGGACCCCTGGGCAGAGAGAGCGGCACTGGGGTTGTGAGGATTGACTCATTATATAAGATTTTTCTGTCCTATGGAGAGGAGGTTGATGTTAGGACTCCAGGAAATTGAGTCTATAGGTTTCTGGAGGTTGCTTTTTTTTTTTTGTAAATCATTAAGACAGTTGCAAACTGATGGAGACTCATGTCCTACATGGCTGTGATCTCCATCAGTTAACCACTTGTTTTTTCCTTTCCTTTGTTCTTAGGCAGCCAGGAGTGCCTGAGGAACGTCACACATATGGCCACCCCCCTCCACCCCCCGGGGGGGTTTGCAATTTTTGTGCAGCAGTCGTGTGCTTTGCCTTTAGCTTGCCTTTTGCTCCCTAATCAATGAGATTATAACCTTATTGGGTTTTGTTTCGTTCTGTTTTTGTTTTTGTTTTGCAATCGACAAAGCTACTATGAGCAACCTTTACATCTTCATGTTAGATTTCCAAAAGTGGAAATTCACTCTTATTACGCTCTGGATGTCTCTTGTCAAATTGCACTTATGAAGGGTTAAGAAATGAAAATTGCAATTCTTCTGAATATTCCTTTTCTCTAGATTTTCATCATCATTATTATTATTTTGTCATTTTTTTAGATGAAAAATCTACATGTTATGTTATCTTCATTTGACTTTAATGTGGGTCAATCATATTTCCTTTGTGGTAAATGCCTATTTATGCTTTACTTATTTTTACTTAAATGGGCAGCCTTAAAATATTTATTTGTAAGCATTTTTTTTTTAACAGCAAGCATATTAGTCCCTAGTTAATGTTGCAGACTTTCCTATTTGTTTTTTCTGAAATAGAGGGAAAAAAACATTTTAATTTAATGTATTTAGATCCATCAATAGTTTTCTTTTTTTGGAGTATCACCTGGGAAGGCTTTCTGTTGTTTAAAAACCTTAGGAGTTTCCCAGCTATAATCTGAGAGGCCACACCTCCCCCATCCGCTGGGAGGGCAGGGACAGAAGGAAGAGGCATACCACTCCAGGGTACTAGGTGGCATATGGTTTTTGTTTGTTTTGCTTCATTTTACAGGAACATCACTGGGGGGCAAATAAAGATGTCTTTGAAATAAGATGTTTTTTAGCCTTAGCTTTAAGCTGTTTTCTCTTAGAGTTGAAATATCCCCAGAGTCCTTGTTATTCTGTAGAAGGAAAAGAAGAAATCCTTTTCTCCTAACATCTTATAAAGGTCCTTCTGGTCAGTCCAGTTTGCCAACTTAGGTCACTTACCCATCCATGGACGAAGCTGACTTCCCAACTTCTGTGTTTTGGACTGATTGGATGCTGTGTCCTGGAACTAAAAATGATTTTCTCTCTCCTAGAATTATGAGTAGAGGTGTATACTTAAAATTTGTCCACTGAGTGGCAAAACTAAAGGGAGTCATCTTTGGTGGAAATTTATTTATTGTGCAACTTCATACTCTAATCTTTTTGACTATTTGCCTTTTGATCTCAAAACTTGGATTCTTGTTGCCTCAGGGAGGTAGTCATGTTTCCTTGTTGCCTTTTTAAGCCATATTTTGGTAATTTGGAATACATTTTCAACAACTTTCTGTTAAAGAATGATAATATATTTTTGGTAGAATAATAGGCTTAATTGAAATACACACTGAGGGCTTTATCATCTTTTTAGATTTTAATAATTTTTTTTCAAATATTCATCCCATCCCGTGTTGAGCCTTTGGTATTATAAACAGTTTTATTTTTTATTTATTTTTTTAAAGATTTTATTTATTTATTTGACAGAAAGAGATCACAAGTAGGCAGAGAGGCAGGCAGAGAGAGAGGAGGAAGCAGGCTCCCTGGAGAGCAGAGAGCCCGATGTGCGGGGCTCAATCCCGAGACACCGGGATCATGACCTGAGCCGAAGGCAGAGGCTTTAAACCCACTGAGCCACCCAGGCACCCCTTAATAAACAGTTTTAGAAGACATGGAGCTTTCTCCCATTAGCCCATCTTACTTCCACACCAGGTTTTGCGACACACTAATTACCTTAAAGCTTGAGGCATTGACTGCTGGTAGGCAGCGGTTTGATAAACAAAGGGAACACACATAGAAGGCTTCCTTGGGTGGCAACAAGATGGATGAATCCCCACACCAGCCCACCAAATCTTAAAAGTTTATAAAAAGAAGTTTTAACTAGGTTCAGTTACATATACTGTGCAGGTGTTCTTAACACCACATCATTACGTCAAGCCAGGGTCCTTGGATCAGTCTCTGGGAGCAAGAATGGCAAATGGAACCCACATTTCAAGGGGGGGTCAGATGGGTGGTGAGGAGGCCCCCACCTCAGTGCCTGGGTCCAGCGCATGGTTCAACGAGCAATTGTTTTTTTCTCTCTTTTTTTTTAAAGATTTTATTAATTCATGATAGGGAGAGGGAGAGAGGTAAGACAAGCAAAGGAGAGCTGGAGAGGGAGAAGCAGGCTCCCCACTGAGCAGGGAGCCCTGTATGGGGCTCCATCCCAGGACCCTGGGATCATGACCCAAGCCAAAGGCAGATGCTTAATGACTGAGTCACCCAGGCTCTCCAAACAGTTGTTATTTCTTTTCCATGACCTTCCCCAACACTTTCCCTACTCCAGGATAATTGTAAAACATACCTATTTACATAACCTTGTAATTTCATTTCTTTTAAAAATCTTGTGAAAAGAGTACCTGGCTGGCTCAGTCATTAGAACATCTGGCTTGATCTTGGGGTTGTGAGTTCAAGCCCCATGTTGGTGCAGAGATTAATTTTTTAAAAAATCTTGTGAAAATGACATGCAACATTCATCCTATTTATCTATGAATATTTACTTTGTACAAAAAGGCAAAAAGAAAAAAAAGCACAGTCATAGTCTTACAACTCTGTTTAAGAAATAAAACTTTACCAGTGTAGTTGAACTCTGCTTCAGTGCTTTTCTTATTACAACAATCCTTGGTAGATTAACTCCTACCCATTTATCACTCCCATAAATTTCTTTGTACTTTTATGACATATGTGTTTATCTCTTTGCAACATCTTATAGCTTCATTTTTTTATTAACATATAATGTATTATTTGTTTCAGGGGCACAGGTCTGTGAATCATCAGTCTTACACAGTTAACAACATTCATCATATGTCCAATGTCCATAACCCAGCCACCCCATCCCTCCCACCCCACCCCCCTCCAGCAACCCTCAGTTTGTTTCCTGAGGTTAAGAGTCTCTTATGGTTTGTCTCCCTCTCTGGTTTCATCTTGTTTCATTTTTCCCTCTGTTCCCATATGATCCTCTGTCTTGTTTCTCAGATTCCTCATATCAGTGAGATCCTATGATAATTGTCTTTCTCTGATTGACTTATTTCACTTAGCATGATACCCACTAGTTGCATCCGCATTGTTGCAAATGCCAAGATTTTGGGGGTTTTGATGCCTGCATACTATTCCATTATATATATCGGGAAATATTATATATATATAATTACTATATATATAATATATATTATTTATATATTATATTTATATATTATATATGCTATCTATATTTTATATATTTATTATATTTTATTTATATTATATATTTTTATATACGTAAAAATATATAAAATATCTTCTTTTTCCATTCATCTGTTGATGGACATCTAGGCTTTTTCCATAGTTTGGCTATTGTGGACATTGCTGCTATAAACATTCGGATGCACATGTCCCTTCGGATCAC